TGAACAAAACCATCACCGACATGATGAAATTCCAGGAGGAAAATAACATTTTGCAAGACAGAAATTTGACCCAGCAAAAGGAAATCCTGGAACTCCGCGAAAAAAGTGCTTCAGAGAAATCCTGGCGGATGCAAAAGGAGAAAGATTTGATCCATTATCAAAAGATCAAGGAAAGAGCCAAGCAGAAGGAGGCGTTGATGTACCAAACCAGGAATAAATATGAAAACATCAAAACAAAAAACTACCACACTGAACTCAAACTGAAAAAGATGACGGACGTCTTGCAGGCAGAGCGCAAAATCCACAGCGACACATGCGCAGAGTTACAAAGCGAGAAGCTCAGCAACAAGCTTTTGTCAGGCCAAGTGGAGTACCTGAAAAAGGTAAAGGAAGAGCATGATATGCTGCTGGGGGACCACAGCAAGCTGACCAAGCAGTTCAAGATACAGCAGGAAACGTTGGATGCTTTGAAGATGCAAGCTCATAGTCAGGCGAAGGAGCTGTCCAGGGAGAAGTATAAAAACAAGGACCTGTCCGAAAAGCTGGCGGAGACTAATCAGCTGGCTGGAAACCTGCAGAGGGAAGTTCAGAGCAAAGACGCAGAATTAAAGAGACTGACAGGGGAGCTGGAGAGAAGGGAAAAAGGATACCAGGAGCTGCAGAGAGAGGTCAACATACTTTCTCACAAATATGACGAGCAGCAAAAGATGGGAACAGCCACAATCACCGACAAAGATAAGTCCAATCATTTGGTTAGGACAGAGTTGAAAGCTTGTGAGAACAAGTACCAGCAGCTCATACTCACCAAGAACGACCTGAGTGAGCAGCTCTGCATGCTGACGGAAAAACTGTCCAAAATTCAGCTCAAACTCAGCGAGTTAGAGGAGGAAAACCACAAACTGAATGAGGTCAACAACAAGCTGACCAATGAGGTGAGCTTAACAAAGGATGAGCTGGTCAAGAAGGGGATGGAGATCGATGCCCTCAAGACCCACGTGGACTTCACAAACTCACAAAAGAGAAAAGTAGAGGATAACTCCAAAGAAACCGTGCGGTCGCTTGAAAAGGAAGTGGACGTGACTAAAGAGATCATGTCCAAGACGGTCACTGAGCTCAAACAGATGGTCAAAGAGAGGACGCAGAGGATGGAGAGGATCCTGCAGCTGGAGGCCAGATGTTGGCAGCAGGAGAAAGGCATACGCGCCCTGGAGGAGCACGTCAGATCCCTGACTCAAGAGAACATCCAAAGCAAGGAAGAGATCGAGGTGTTGCAGAAGTTTAAAGCGCTTTACCTGAAAATGAAAAAGTGCCAGACGGTGGTGATCACCGAGGAGAAAACCTTTCCCAAGACAACCAATGACAACAAGATCATTCAGCGTCTGAGGGACATGCTGGAGGAGAAAACAAAGCAGCTGGAGGGAAGAGGTAAGGAGATCGAGGAGCTGAAGCAAATGCTGGCCCGACGGCCCGATGATGCGCAGAAGAAGCTGCAAGAGAGCCGATATGAGATCAGGAGCCTCAAAGACAAGATGAAGGCTCAAGAGGGGCTGCTTCACGCGTGCGAGACCGAGTACACCAAGATACGGGAGGAGAAAGGCCATCTTGAAAGTGAGGTGCGGAAGCTAAGACTGAAGAACCTACAACAGTACATCCGCCTCCCACCCATTTCCAAATTTGGCAAATCTAGACCAGAAGAGTCTGAAGGTCCAGCAGGAATCTCAGAGGACAAACTCATCACCATGGTCACAGAGAGGAAAAGAAGATTTAAACTGTCTCCCGTCCAAACTGCAGCCAGCAGCACTCAGCAGCTCACTCCACATCCTCCGCCAAAAGAAGCCTCCACCTCTGACAGCCCAGCGGATAGCACAAATCCAATGTAACCCCCCCCCCTCCCCCTCCCTCTGTCCTTCTCTCTCTTGCCCTCTCTTCCTCTTACCCCCAACCGGCCAAGGCAGATGGCCGCCCACCCTGAGCCATGGTTCTGCTCGAGGTTTCTGCCTGTTAAAAGGAAGTTTTTCCTTGCCTGTGTCGCCTAGTGCTTGCTCTTGGTGGGAATTGTTGGGCTTCTGTAAATAACTTCAGAGTAGGGTCTGACCTGCCCTGTTTGAAAAGCGCTGTGAGATAACTGTTGTTGTGATGTGGTGCTGTATAAATAAAATTGAATTGAATTAAACAAATTAAAAACCCAAACCTTTTAATTACACTTTTGTGAACGATGACTCCCCAATAAAGATGCACTGAGTTGTTTGAAAATCTAAATATTTGGTGAATTACAGTTGAAAAGCATTTGATGATTACTGTTCGGCAGCAGAACCGTCTAGCTTTAAGAGAGAAACTCTTCAGTGGCTGTTAGAACAGCAAAAATGCCGAAACAAATAGACTGTCAAACTCACAAAAGAGAAAAGTAGAGGACAAAGAAACCGTGCGGTTACTTGAAAAGGAAGTCGGCGTGACAAAAGAAATCCTGTCCAAGACGGTCGCTGATCTTAAACAGCTGGTCAAAGAGAGGACGCACAGGATGGAGAGGATCCTGCAGCTGCAGCGCTCTACCTGAAAATGAAAAAGTGCCAGACGGTGGTGATCACCGAGGAGAAAACCTTTCCCAAGACAACCAATGACAACAAGCTCATTCAGCGTCTGAGGGACATGCTGGAGGAGAAAGAGGTAAGGAGACCGAGGAGCTGAAGCAAATGCTAGCCCGACGGCCCGATGATGCGCAGAAGAAGCTGCAAGAGAGCCGATGTGTGATCAGGAGCCTCAAAGACAAGATGAAGGCTCAAGAGGGGCTGCTTCACGCGTGCGAGACCGAGTACACCGAGGCACGCGAGTCTTCCTTCTTCTTCCGGCTCTCGGCGAGTGAAGACGTGTTTCTCTCTGCTCCCTCCCCTGCCCTTCGTGCCTTGCTTGCTATCTCTGTCCTGTCGTATCTCAGAGCCTCTTTCTGCATTTTCACTTCCTAAAGCCTAACATCAACCATGGATTTGGTCGGCTGGTCTCTCAACGCAATTGACAAAATCTTCTCTACCCAAAGACAAGCTGCAGGGGCTGCAACTTGTCCAGCCGGGACTCACCCTGCGGGTTACCCGATGGATGCCTGGAGGAGCTGGAGGGTTTTATGCCTCTCAGTTCTCTCCGTGGAGGACGTCGAGGACCTATACCTATTTGGATTCATGATAACCGGGTTCCTGATGATTGGAGTTGTTGGATACCTAGGTTTTCGAGAAATTCGGAGGCTGAGGGCTACTGGTTGCGGGCTGCCTGTCGAGCCGGTTTACCGGGCCATCAACACTCGGACTCAAACCTTGTGCGAGTTGTCTCGCAAACATGATGCTCTGGTGAGCAAACTGGGGACTCAGTGGAGCAAACAGCAGGCTCATAGGAGCAAAATGGGGACGATGTCTGACAGCATGAAGGTGATGGGGAACACCTTGTAGAAGTTGGTGGTTCGGATGGAAGGAAATTAACACAATTCGGCTGAATTGGATCGCCATTGAGAGACCTGCTGAGGACTTAAGGCAGACAAAACACGCTCTGTCTGGAACAAAGCTATCTCTCTTATCTCAATCTGGCCTCCCGAGAGCGGCCTTGCAGCTGCTACTCTACAACTTTGCCCTGGATGGAACTGCAGACCGACGCTTTGCCCACCCCACCCCCCTCCCTCTTCCCAAGCAGGAGTATGGGCATCACAAGGACAAATACCATCCTGCCTGTGGATGTGGACTTCAGCTTGCTTACACTTACACACAAGTACAGACTTCATGCATTCCTTGGACTCACTGCCTCGCTGTTACCTTTCCCCTTCCTTCCAATCCCCCCATCCCTCCCTCCCTATGTGTCCTTGATGTTGTGATTTGACTGTATCTGTGCTTCAGTGTACTGAGGTGTTTTTTTTATATCACTGTTACGTCCCCTGTAGAGGGCGTGGCACTGGGCCTTTTTTTCCCCTCTTCCCGCAACCGCTTTCCCAATGTATTCTTTTTGTTCTGAAGAAAAATTGGTGCGCCCTCCTGTGTGGCTGCCCTCAGTCTTCCCGAACTGGTGTGTCTATGTGTTTTGTTTGTTTGATCTTGGTACGGGCTGTACTGGAAGTCAATTTCTCACTGGAGGTCAATAAAGTATATTCAATTCAATTCAATTCAATTCAGAAAGGCAATCCTTAAAGTGAGGTGCAGAAGCTAAGACTGAAGAACCTACCAGAGGACATCCGCCTCCCACCCATTTCCAAATTTGGCAAATCTAGACCAGAAGAGTCTGAAGGTCCAGCAGGAATCTCAGAGGACAAACTCATCACCATGGTCACAGAGAGGACCTACTCACTGATAAATTAAAAACCCAAACCTTTTAATTACATTTGTGTGAACGATGAATTCCCAATAAAGAAGTGGTTTGAAAATATAAATATTTGGTGTATTACAGTTGAAAAGCATTTGATGATTACTGCATGGAAGCAGAACCGTCCAATTTTAGGGGGGAAACTCTTCAGTGGCTGCAAGCTATTCCATCAACAGCTCCGGGAAACCTGCTACAACACAGGTTCTAAACACTTGTTTGGTCTCATTTATATATCCTGTAGAGTCAAACTAAACCTAGAAAATATTCCACATTCACTCCAGCTCATAAGCCAAAAAAACAGCAAAGCTTTTAAAGGCTTAATCAAATGGTTTTCCTGCTTCTGCTTTGAATTTATCCCTTAAAATCTGCGCGATACTTTAAGCTGCCGCACATTCACACAGATGTGATGGATGCCATGTACATCCAGATGTTGCTGTGCAGACAGCTGCTGATGAGGTTCCCGGCTGACAGCCATCACTGACAGTGAAACATTGCAGCAGCATTTCCTGGCTTGCTCCCCAAACACTTTCATCTACAGTGGACAGTTGTTTAAAGCCATTTTCTTGTATACATTTAGGTTTTAAGTATGCATAGGCTACTGAAGTGGACACTGGTGAATCATGCAATGAAAATGTAAACAAATAAACAATAATATGTTAAAGAGGATCTGAGATGGACCAAGATTAATCAGGGGGTTGAATGAGCAGGAGTGAGAAAAGGGAATAAATAGCATGAATATTAGAAAAAGATTCTGGACAGTTCTGTTTGTGCAGTATGTTAAATGTCACATATGTTCACTGTAACATTAAGCATTTCATTAGGACATCTAAAGGGATCCTTCAATAAACATGTTTGATGAAAAATTTACTTTTTAATACCTTGAGAAAAATAAAAAACTGACTAAAATGATAAGTCATCCATGAAGGAAAAACCCATTGAACAGCACTGGAGTCAAATTTAATGAGCCCACACAAACACATTTTTTGATAAGGTCTATGTTAATATTGAAATAAGAACAGCAAAGTGACAGAAGGGCAATGAAATTAACCAAAAATTCAAAGTTTCTGAACATATTTGTTTGCTGCTTTCTTCAAAGGAAATAATCTGTTGCAGTTCATGAGTTCCTGTTTGCATAATGAAACAGTAGGTTCAGTCAGGGTGTTTGACAGATGTGTAGCCAGCTGTTTGCCTTTGACGTAAAAAGGAGAAAAAAAACCTTACAAAAACAGGCCCATCTTCTACATTTCATTTAAGGGCGACGAAGGTCAGACTGAAAATAAGAACTTTTGTCAATTGATTAAAAAAAAGTCAGATAATCAAATGAAAAGTCTGTATTCTACTGGGATAAATCCCCTTAACAGTTGGTACCTGAAATGAAAGAAGTACAACAGTCAGTTCTCTAAAGAGATTTTCAGTTCATAAAAAAGAAAAAACTTTTTAAAAGCAACTGTTTAATAAGGTCAAATAGCTACCTAAAGCAGTTTCACCCTATAGCTGAAAGCATTCATTTTTAAGATGTTCCCGAGCTTCAATCAAAACACCCAATTTAGATTCAATAGAACTCTTCACCAGATTAAACTCTTTCCTCTGCCTGTCTCGCCTTGATTCGAATCAGGTGTGTTGAAGCCATCCCTGCTTAAACTTACAGCAACTACAGATTCCTCTTAAGAAAAACAAACATCTTACATTTATACTTTCAGGCTTGTACAAATATAGGACAACCCATTGATTATCTAAATGTTGAGTCCATGGTTGGAAGACAATGGCTCCATTTAAAAAAAAAAAAAAAAATTATATACACACACACACACACACACCTTTGTGGTCATTTCTGTTGAGAAGCATGAATCAACAGCCTACAGATAGCTGTAGTATACACATCTCTCCCCCCTGTAAATCATCCCAGAACTCACTTATTCTCATGCCCACTTAAATTTAACCCGTACCTACCTGAAGGATAATTTCAAATAAAGCCTGGCATGCATCTGAAATCAAATTTGTCAAGTATGAATAACTCCAGCACATGCATCTCATGGAATAAACAGAATTAATGTAGCTTTTTTTTTCTGCACCAGGTTGTGACTTTTAGCCTGGATTTGGTCTCTAAAGTCAAATTCAAAGTGAACTTCTTGTGGTTTATTATTCTTTGGAGAGCCTCTGGACCTGTGCATGCTGGTGTGGGGAAAAATCCTGGTTCTGCTGATCTCATTTCACACCAAGTGGACAGCAGCCATTTAGCCACAGACAAAAATGCAGATTTCAGGCCTCTAGGATCATCTCATCTTCCTGCCCCCACTCCTATCCTGCATTCATCTGTACATTTTTAGAGCTCAGATCCATCTACTGGCAAATTTTACAGACTTTCATAATGGATTAAAGACCTATAATGAAATTTGGTCCCTTTTAAATCGGACTGCTAGGAGACATAAAAAATGACTCAGTTTTATACAGAGCTCAGCTATCAAAAGGGTTTCAGGGCCTTACCGTGTAAGAACACTGAAGCTATTTTACTTCAGCCTCTAGAGGGCAGTGCTGTCATGCATTTCAGATTTGTGAATAAGTGTGTGTGTATGTGTGTGTGGGGGGGCAAAGTCTGAAGTAATGCCATGTCTGAAACACATACATTTTAAAGAAAACTCCAACCTGGCAGGTTCCCCACGTTGATCCAACCGTCTGTTCAACACTCAGCAAGGTTGAGACAACTGCTGATCAGGGAGAGGGGAGAGAAAAAAAAAATTAGCATTGTCATCTTAATAAAAGAGATGCAGAGGTAATAAAAAATCTAAAGTTTTAACTTTTCAACTCTTTTCTATTCTGAACCCAAGCTTTGGTGTTTAATAAATTCTCTTAACAGAACAATGGTTAATGTGAAATCTGAGGAAGAAAAACCACAAACATGTCTTGATCTAAACCGCTTCTCCCTGAATTATCCAATCAGACGATGAGCCACTTGTGATGATAGTTTGAATGTGTCACATGCGAGACAATCAAATGCTCTACGCTGATTGCTGGTTATAATTTCAGTTCATTTTCCGTCAGATCTTCTGTGGAATCAAAGCCGTGCCTGATTGCCCATTGTTGCCAGAGTTCATCTTTCAAACACTGGAAATGAAGCCTTCTCCTCCTTCTTTTTGAACGGATGCGTCATTTGTCAACAGAAGATTTTTATAGTAATCTAAACCCTTAACTAAATTCTGAATCGTGTAAGGTTCTGATTAAAAATTTCACAGAAACTGATTTTTATTCGAACCAAACAGAGGGAATCTGGAGGGGGAACCGAAAGCTGTAGAAGGAAAGAAAGGTCAGTTTCACATATTTGTTTCAGAAATTAAATAAACAACAAGCCTTCTTGAGTTTCAGGGTTGGATTAAAATGTTTTATGAAGAGTGGTGGAATCATTTAAATACACCATATTTAACCCCTACAAATGAATAGGCTGAAAAAAAGGGTGAAATAAAAAAATGCTCACCCATAATTGATGCAAAATTACATCAAGCTAAACAACAAACACGAAAATGGAAGAATTCTCGGAAGCCTCGTGAAGTTTGAATGATCACTCTCTGAAAGAGCCTGAGACATTTTTCACAGGGAAGAATTTCAGCCCGTTTCTTTATCAAATGAATAAAAATTTCAACCTTAGCTCCTTTCACTGATATCTGCTTGCTTACCGTTTAGTAATCAGCACAGAAACAGGGAACATTACACCGTTTTTGCAGATAAACCAACCTTTAAGAGGGACCCGTATGAACCAGTTATCTGGCAGCCTTGAGTCAGAGATAATTGAATTAAACCCTGTGGAACTATGAGCGAACACTGAGCGTTCCCGTCTGTATCCAGAGTGGAAGCATGTTTCAATTCTTTGGTGCTCACAGTGTGGGTCAAAAACTAAAACGGCTCCCTGACAAGCAGCTGACGGACCAACTGAGGAGTCAAATCAAGCCACCTAAAAACCCCATCAGCATCCACGGGGAAGATGTGAAAGCGTTAGATACCTGAGACTCATTATAGACAACAAACACAGCTTTGAGTCACACATCCATGGGCCAGCAAAGGCTCTCTCCTATCAGGAAACGGGTCTCTCTCAGTGCCCCCCCCACCTCCTTTATCAACATGTCATCCACAAAGACAAAAAACTGACAAATCTACTTTGTAAGTTGCTTTGGGATAAAAGTGTCTGCTACATGTATAAATATAAGCTGCCAAAATCATTTGCGTTCCGGCCCCCAGCGTATCTGACCTCAACCATCCAGCCATAACAGGTACAGTCACCCCCTAACCCATTTGGGTTCCGGTACAAGACCCTGATCAGGAAGAGTATCAAGTTTAGACAAATCTCTGTGCCCTTTGCTATAAGAGAACTAAACGGATTGCTTTGCTAAGTATGCGTGGAGGGGGGGGGGGGGGGGGGAAGGTGAAAACAGGTTTCCTTTGCAAAGGACAAATAAATCAGAATCTGAGCATCAGGCCGTTTCAGGCGTTACCGAAGTCTGATCCGGAGCGACTTGGATGATGAACTGGTACGTGGGCAGCACACAGTGCTGGAACATCAGCCTGGTCATGTCTCCATCCTCCGTTATGGCCTCTGGAGGAATGCTAAATCCATCCTCAATGTGCTCCTCCGACATGTTCAGCAACTGCAAAGCAGATGGAAAGAAACATCCTAATGAATCGATCCTAAAAATTTGATTGCCCTTCGTTTTCTACAATGGGATGACCGGCTCAAATTTAATTGAAGGCAGTTTTTCCACTTTTGTAATAATATTTCTTGAAAAAAACTCAAGCTGGAATAAAAATGGGTAACTTGTCAAAAGAAAACTATTTAACAGAGGCACAAACATCTTCAATGCCCCGTTTAACCTTCCCCTACATTTCTAATCTAAAAAGAACGTGTTAATTTAGCTAGCATTAAAAAGCCTTGAGTGACCATTTAGTTATTTCCTCAAACCTGAGGCCAATGCAACAGGAAACCTTCTGCTAAAAACAAAATGACGTGTTGCAGCATTTAAACTGAAGCGATGCGAGATGATCCCGTCCAGTCACAGCAGACCCACTCATTTAAATTTAAGATGCACAAGTTTGTGTCAGGCTTAAAAAAAACAAAGCTTTCACCACTTTGTGGTGTCTGCTTTTGCCTTTTCAGTTATACGAGGAAACATGCCAGTTTGTTGAGGAAAAATTTCTTAAAGCATCCTTTAGTTCATTTTTGAACATCCTTTTACCTGCTTTACTCCTCAGTCTCACTGCCTTCTGTGCTATGGGTATAACATGTTTATGTCACTTTTCCCCACAGTTTAACAAATTAAACAGCACCCATCAGACAAAATGCTAGTTCTTACTTAGAAAAAGAAGCAGGTAAATAGTGGCAACTGTTAGAAGATTTTTTTTCTTAACGGAAAAATGTAACAAAAAAAAAAAAAAGTGCTTTAACAGAGCAGCCTTCATCTAGGGGTGTTTTTGTTTGACATGAAGATTATTTACCAGCGGAGGCTGCTGTACGGTACCCATCATAACTGCCAAAAAGTGAGGCCAAGCACTCACCTCGTCCATCCTCCAAAGCTCGCTGCCCAGAGCCTCGGTCTGACCAAAAGCGATGGCATTCTTCAGGAAATCGGTCCCGTTGGCCTCATTCTGGTCAGCAGGGGAAAAAGGATAACCGAGTCTCCAAAGCAGTGATCACACTGTGTCTGGAATAAGGTGGAACAAACCCTCACATTCTCAGTGTCCCGCAGGACAGCCAGGAGCAGCCGGATGTACTCGGTGGCCGCCTTCAGCGTGTCCACTTTACTGGGCTTTCGGTCTGGCTGCATCAGAGGCACCATGCGCTTCAGGCGGGAGAACATGGTGTTCAGGTTCCTGATCTGCGGGGGAGACGGCGAACGGGCCAGCAAATGTCAAATCAGCTCCAGGATGGAGGTCCGAGATGGGATCACTCCCACACAACCGACCCTGGACACCGAAGCTCGGCCAGTTAGATCCTAAATCAATTTAAGAAGAACTGAGCCTGACCATAAGGAGGCCATGCTCAGCCTTTCCTAACAGAGCATATTCACTTAAACAGATATTATAATTCATATTCAACTTTTGCATGCATAATTAGGCAGGAGTTTTTTTTTACTGGCTTCCTAAATTATTTTTAAATGGCTTGTTTATCTTTTTTATTAATATTTTAAGTCAGGAGGAGTTGCCTCAGGTAAAGAAGTTTATCAAAGAGGAGGACTTTCAGAGCCCTCCACACCCAGGATAAACACCAATTGCTCCTCCAAACACGGTTGCCGGAGTTTTAAACAGTCTTTTCCATGAAAAACTCACCCTTTGTCGTTCCTTGGCGTTGACCAGTTCCCTTTTTTTAACCGTTTCGTGGAAGTCTTCGGCAACGAAATACACGCCGTCTCTGCCCCGCTTGAACTTCTCGATGCTGCTGTAAAACGGCAGCGCCGACTCCCCCGTCAGCCGCTTCAGAATATCGCTCATTAATTCCGCCTCTGGAACCTTCATGTCCACCTGTGATGTAAAAACAAAAAAAAAAAGAAAGCAAAAGATAGCCTGTCCTCGGTCTTACGGCTTTGGTTCGGTTTGTTTCATGGTCTTTTGATTAAAAAGTTTGTCACGAGCACACCTTTTGGAGGGCGGAGGCACACACCTGTGCTAACCGTTGCATTAATTAGGTCGTCGAAGCCGTCTCTTCCGCCCTCAAATGGATTCTCGGCCCTGTTTTCTCACCACCGAGGCTGAATAACCGCTGGTTATCGCTAGTTTATCGCTAGTTTAATTCGCTAGTTTAATAAACCAAACGCTGTTATATGTCTCGCGCGTTTTTCAAAATGAGGCCCTTCGAGCAAAACCGTGGACTAAATTAACGCCGTGCTGGCCTCAGCAGGCCTCCTGACTTCTATGGCGTCGGGACCCATTGCACATTTGATAATTTCCAGAAATAACACTGACAAGAATGAAGTCTTCATGTGGAATTAATACTAGTTATTATTAGTTATTACCATGCAAATAAAGTGTGAAACATTTGATTTCCCGTGTCGTCCGCTGGGATGGAGTTGCTCATTCAAAGCATTCTATGTGGAGGAGCAAGATTTAGGATTAGAAAGTCTAACAGGGAGCAGATGAAAAGCAGATAAAACTGGAGAAATATAATATTTATTGACATTTTTTATGACACATCTAGCTCTGGCAGCTTGGATCAGCTGGAGGCTTTTATAGACTTTATTCATATCCAAGGGATGAGACAGGCTGCTGCAGTTAACATGGGATCATTGTCTTTGGGGGTGCAATTTGCAACATCAAATCATCCATTTCCCGGGATGAAGTAAACTAGCATGCGCATTATTATGATAAAACTCATCCATTATGCAAATCATACACTGATTTTTTCCCACTTTCTTTGAACCTCCACACAGAATATGCCTCTGTAAGTGGCAATGTGATCCAAAATTAATTTCCTGTCTGGTGCTGAGTTTCATCATGCAAGTCATTACACGGGAAAATAAATAATCTAAATTCCAGAATGTGTTTGCAATGGGCTGATTGCTAACTCTTCCTTGCAAATTTGTTTAAATAATGAATGCTCCCATCAGTGTTCACCAACGTGTTATAGTGGTGGTATGTGTCTTTACCACCAATGTTTCTCATGCTGTCAAACACTAACTCAGGAAGTGTATAATGGATATCCCCCCCCTGCTAACACCAAATGTATAAGCAAATGTAAAACGTATTTCACACCCAAAAGACCAGCTTCACAAAGTGAATGTAAGCTTGAATACTCCTGATATGAGAGCTGTCAGAAGGTGTTGTTGAGGAAAATGACACGAGTGGTGAGAGTATAAGGTGTGACACTGAGGAAACGTTGGATGAATATCCTATTTTTAAACTGCTGGTAGACCTTTAGCTGTTTAAAAGCTGAATAAACTGCTGTTGTTTTGAATCTGAATGTGAAACAGAGTCATTCTATTTGTTCTTTGCTCCTTTCAGTACCACTGTGATATAATAAAGCAGAAAAGTGACTGTGATGAACACCAGATATGAACTGAGTGGTCATTGGTTTTAAAATATCCTGTGCACATCACAGCTAAATCAATTTGGACCCAAATTCCACCGAACATCACGACCACAAATGTACAACAACTGCCAGAAATATTACAAACCCCAGTGAGATGTTATCTAGCTCTATAAAAGAAGAAGGAAGTATGAGAAATACAAAAATGAAAAAAATAGGAACGGCTCAGATGGCATGAAGGATGCAGCATAAAGTCTGAGCTTTGAAATCAAAACTGCAACATGAACCTTACAGAGAGGATGAATAGAAGCCAGAAAGACATTCGAGTTTCGACTCAGACTGAATTTATTCAGCTCTGAGGACACCCTGCATTTAATCTAACCCTGAGACTACCTTGAGCAATGTTTGGTCTGACGGTGAAGCTGAGCATGAGGGTGTGATTGGGGATCTATGTGAGAGAAAAAGGTTTTGGGAAATTATGTTTATAGATGAAACCATCAACACCTGTGGATGAATCAGCATGACCTAAGATGGGATGGCTCCATACAAGAGGAGAGCCAAAATAGTCCAGTTTGAAAGGTTACAAAACCTGCTGCCACATCTTGAAAGTGTGTCTAAAGAAGAAAAACAGGAAAAAAATCTCAACTTAAAGCATAAAAAATACTGTTTTGAACAAATTATGAGGACTCTTTTTAACATTATTATCATTGGTGAAAAAATAAAATGATTCAGGATGGAATATGTTATTGTAAATGATAATTTGAGCACCTGTTACATAGTATAAATTCACATGAATCAATTGGGGGGGTCATCCCTTCCTCTGTTTACAGTTATGAGGCTGCAGCAATGATAGGAGAGGAGAACTGTCCACAGACTCAGAAAAATCCCCTTAATGCTTTCTGTCTTATTTCCCCTGACAGAAAAAGAGCCTAAACCAACACCTAATGTTAGTTTCTGCATGTGCTACACGTATGATGATTCATTATCAATGTTTGCAAACCAAATTGGGTTCCTTTAGATTTCCCATTTCTGATCTATTCCCCATAAGTGATCAATATCATACAGATCCTTCAGAGTCAAAATAAAAGGGAGGGCTAGTGTTAAGCTGTAAATCAGTGAAAAGTTATTAGCCATGAAATTATTTTTCTTTCCTGTGGTTCAGAAACTTTGATCAATCATTATTTGAATAGGAGATGAGAGAAGGAAGAGCGTGACTAAACATTCAATTTCAATTTTAAAACTGGAATCAATGTTTTTCACAAAATTCCCTCCATATAATGAATTATGCTAACAAGTGTGTTTACATTTAAAAGTTCGGAGCAGAAGAGTCTATCTGAACTCTGTAGATACATTTTCATCAGCAGGAAATACATCGTGATCAAGTGATATGTCAGGTGCAATAAGAATTTGATTGATTAGGACGGAGACGTTATACATTATTTGGCTCACATTTGCGTAAACACAGGATCTTTCACAGGGACTGACGACCAAAAAACAAAGCTTTGAATAAACAGATAAATGATGGGCTGCCTGGAGCATCAGTATGTAGATACTGGAATTTGATCAAAAACTGCTTTTAATCTGATAATTATAAGCTTTACTGGACACTACAAGTCTCTGATATCTGAAAAAACTAAATCTTTTTTCCGTTTTTTCAACTGAACTGAGCTTTTGATTCAAACCTTTCATGTAAAAGTGGGTTTTTGGGAAATTTAAAGTAGAATAAAAAGGATAAAACAGCAAAAACGTTTGCATACTTATATATTCACCCCCTGTCAATCAAAAGTTTGTTTGCCAACCAATAAATGAAAAAACATTCATTCCCGCTGTCCACCAAAGCCTGAGATGACTTTGACACAGTTTGAAAAGAAGTAAACCTCAAACATAACTTTTATACTTGAGAATTTATCAGAGCTACCTCGAGTGAAATGTCCCACTGTCCACTAAAGCACAAAAACCTCTCATCCGTCTGACTGGGAGTGTGCTGACAATGACAGCAATAGCTTTCCACAACTGTAATATAAAGACATGTAATTCAGTCAACTAATGTGACCCTAAAACATTAAAAAAACTCAACCCAAAACCTTTAACTTCAATATTTTGAGACACTCTTTCTAATTGGTTTGATTCGTCATCACACCTCTTCTGTGGGGCGTTCTTCCACCGCCACAAAAAACTGTCGTCATCAAGGGACTTGAAAATAACTGAAATGAATGGCTACAGGCCAGTGTCAAAGCTTTCCTTTTTATGGGAAACAATCATAGTAAGGGCTATTTTTCAACAGCTGAATTGATACCTGACTCACAGTAATTGTTTTGACATTTTTGGGAAAGATTTCTCCTGAAGCGCAGCGACGAGGGGTCTGCAGAAAAAGTGGAAAACAAGAACAAGTCCATCACCAGCCGCACGTGTATTGGATTTTTGTTGGTCCACCACTTGACCTTTCGAGGATGTTTGTGTTATTGGTTCCAATTCAACAACCCGATACATTTGAGAACAGTGAGCCTTTTCAGAGGCCTCGACAGTTTTGCAAGTTGACAGAAAATTATATGGAATCCGTATTTCATTGAACTGAAGGACTAAGATTAAAATCTTTTAAACTTTCATTTGAGTTGAAGAACCTTCAAGTCAAGTTGTTGTTGACTTGTGCTATCTACACTAATTCACACACACTCTGACGCACTTTGCACTCCTTTAGAAAAGCTTAAAGAGTCAAGACTAGAATAAGATGACCATTAAAGCAGATGAATAATTGTTTAAAAGAAAAATCGAAAAAGCTCAAGATTTAATAAAAAAAGAGAACCTTGTCTGCTCTTCTTTGATGAGAACATTTAGAGTGCAAAATGCATCAGGATGGAAAGAGGTAAATAACTGAATAAAAAGGATGGGTGGTGAATCATGAACGTGTGTGGACCTTGAATCTCGCTTCAACAACGCAACGTGTGAGAAAACGCAAAGCAATAATCCGTCATGGTTGAGTGAGGACAGCTGTAAAAGCTCAATGCAGGTGTAAGTCATCGCTTGGCTTTCGACCTCTATTCATCAGAGCATTTCTGGAGCTGCGATTGCTAACTTGAGACTGGTCTTTGTGTGTTTGTGTTCAGGAAAGCGAAGTTAGGTTGAGATAGAGTGGAATTGCTATAAACTGTTTTTTATAGCAAATGGTAGAATATTATCCTAAAGTGACAGAATATTAAACCATAAAGAATGAGTGATGCAAATAAATATGAACAAAAAAAAGGCCCTTAGGAGTGAGTGTGCGTGGTTGCTCGTCCTTGTGTGTCTCTGTGTGGCCCTGCGATGGACTGGCTGACCGTCCAGGGGGTACCCTGCCTCTCGCCCATTGACTACTGGGATAGGCTCCAGTCCCCCCGTGACCCCATTTGGGAACAAGCATAAAATGGATGGAAAAGAGCTTAAATCTCCAGCTGAGTCTTCACTCATCTTTTTATTGACAAGAAAACATTAAGAATAGTCTCAGGCATTTACAGCTGATCTAGTTTCTTTCATGCAATCTTGACAGCTGAGGAGAAAAGTCACCACAAATCCGTAGTTTTTATATGGGATCGCCTTTGGAGTGGTACAAATGTCACCGATAAGTCTGACTGAGACGCAATCTGTTGCCACTCAGGTCCACAGATCTGAACCTAAATTCACACACACAGAAAGATGGAAGTGAGGCTCACTCTTTGCAAGCCTGGAGAGGAAGAAGTGTTGTGATGATCTCAATGCCTGGAGAGAGCGAAGGGCTGCTAAGCTTTTAATCTGTATCAATCAGAAATTGACTTGATTTTACACCGGTGGCTTTAGAGTGGTTTTTGTAACTCCTATTGAGAGACCAAAGACAGAAAAAAAATCCTCCTTTCTAGTAAAATTACCATTCTGTTTACTGATGCACACTCAAAAACCCTGTTAGAAAGTGATACCTTTCATCAGATTATGTATCAGATGACTAATTAATATGGTTCTTTTTTGGGTAAGATCCATCTTTTAAACTCTCTATTTCTCCCTGCCGACCCTCTGCGATATGAAAATAGCTTGATCTATTAATAGTTATTCATGTGATACCCAGGAGGACGGCTTATTTCACAATCCCATGGCCTGCCATGCTCTGAGTGTTTTCACATTAGGGTGGCGAGAGCAAATGCACAGTGTAAAAAATGTTCTTTTGTCTTGAGTGTTTTCCTGGTGCAGGGAACAGGTTTGAGGAATGTTTTCCGCCTTATCAAGAGGAAAGTGCTGCCTGTAATGATTTGTGACTAGGCCCTTTACATATTGACCCATGTGCTGCTTGTATGGGTGGATCTTTCAAAGTTTGCCATACATTTTCTGTGGATTATGGTTGCCGCCCCCTCATCTCTTCTGTAAACACCAACAAACACAAATCAATGCACATTACAGATTTATTTCTATAATATATAGCTTTGTACTTTAACTGTGGCTTTATATATATATATATATTTTATACAAGGTAAATAAAAGAAATAAACCCATCCCTTGGCTTTGTCTTGGCTCCCGGGCATCATCGGGCCGATCACGTCCGCCTCATCAGCAGCCAATCGGCTCATTCTATTCGGAATGACGTCAGCAAACTAACAACTCCAGGAAGCTGGAAGTTTCGTGTCTTCCAGGACGTCTCCGTCTCTAACTACTACCAAATTTCGACAAGCAACCAAACGAGGAGTGGCTCTGACGTTTTTTTTTGTTGTCGTTGTTGTAAAAATTCAAACCAGCGACTTTTTAGCAAAACTTCTCTCCGAGTTAGTTGAAATAAGGACGTGGGGCGCGACCCAGAAGTCGCCACACATCACCGTGAAGATGCTATCGCCAAGTATGTCGACTAACTACTGTTTGGAGCTCAGTGGTGACCAAGTTCCTAAAGTAAGTATTTATATGAAGCCCTTGACTTGTTTTTTTTTGCGTGGAGGGCAGGGGAGGGTGTACTCTTCCGTGTCTTCTTCTTCTGGTGTATCTGGCTGCATTTATACAGTTATAAGCGCTGGGCTCCAGCAGCTTATTTGAATACTAGCTATCTCCAAAGAGCTTGGACAGCAAACATCTTCCTTTGGAAAATATTTGCAAGGCCATGAGGGAAAGGTTACAAGGTCACGGGCAGCACAAAGCCTCCAAAGATTAAGGTTTGAATCCTACTGTTGACTGTACTTTCTCTGCTTAATAACAACCCGTATATGTGTTTATATTTGCAGCCAGCAAACAATACGCCTTTCCCCCCCTAAGGAACGTAAAAAGTCTGGTAACTTGTCTCAGCTTGTCTTATTTCTTTTGTTGCTTTGTGTGAATGTCTCATAATGCCATAGATGTATGGTTTCTACTGTAGATTGAAGTGCTATTTCCTTCACAGTGTCTGGATTTTATTGGACCTAATGGACCTTTTTCATAGCAGACTTAACATAGCAGAGGAAGCCATGGGAAGTTAATAGTGTGAAATGATACATTTCCTAGGCCTGGCAGGCTAATACTTTTGAGACGGGGTGTGCAGGGGGACCCACCACTTCCATGAATATTTAAAGTGGTTCAACTCTCCAGTGTGATGTCAGCAAGTGTTCAGCCTGACGTTAAATTGCGTAGATGTCAGGAGATGACTCACAATTTGAATCAGTCTTGTTTGTGCAGGGAAACATGAAGATATTCATGGAAGGAGGTCTTTTTCGACCAGTGGAGAGAAACAGACCGCGGAAAGCCATGACTGCACAGGGGCAGGAGCTCACCTAAATGATTTATTTGCCCCTGCTGACCCTGCGATGACAAGTCAGACTCAGCTGTTGCTATTAATTGTGCAACAGTTCATTATGTTGGCGGTTAAGTGTTGGAGGTTGTTTTCGAAACAAGGATGGAGCGGAAAATTTGCTATTTTCTTTACTAAAAAGCAATCAATTAGTCAGGCGTGTTGCTTTTTACACTGAATTTTCCTTTAAAAAAGATTAATGTAGCGCTTTGCTTTGAAGCCCAAAGTTTGGTGTTTGAGTGTCTGGGACTTAAGGTTTTTGAGACTCCAGGTTTTGGACTTTCTGAAAAGCTTTTCAGGCCTCTGCTCATGTAGCGGTACCACCAGTGGCTGAGCCACAGGTGAATGGGCTGCAGGTTTGTACTTCAGTTCCCAGCTTTACGGTTTGGATCAAGTTCTCAAAGGCTGCATGGCAGCCGTGTGCAAACAGGTGACTGAGAAACGACCAGCACTGTACTTTGTGAACTTGTCTCACGCTTGAATGAGCTTTTAAAGGGAGGATCATTTCTATTGCTCACGCTTTCTATTTGTAATGTTTGTTTTTGTCGTCACGGTCTTGTCGAATATGTGATTGTGTGTTCAATTAAGAAGTGTGAACATTCTTCAGCTCTGTCAGCAAATGAGGTTTAGTTATTAAAGAGCTTGTTTAGGAAATTACTGACAGGCGAGATGGTACCGAAAGTTAAAAGAAATGATCTTTTAAATTAGATTTAAGGAAAAGGAAGCTATAATTTAATGCATCAGATCCAACTGAAGATCGGTTTGGAACCTAATGAGTCTGACGTTTTGCCCTTTTACCTCAAATGTAAAGTTACCCATCTCTGTTTTAGTGGATTCAAATCTCTCTGGAATGCGTCTGTGGCCTCCTGGAGGAAACAAAATTGAATCCTTTTTGAAGCAGCAGAAAACATGGATGGTGAAACATTTAGTGATTACGGTAAAAAGTAGCTGCCATCAGCTCCTTGTGACAGGTAGAAACAGGCTGCATTCAAAGGAGGGAAATTATTCCCAACACTTGAATCCTACATGTTTCCGCTGCATTGCAGGGCGGTTGTGTAATGACTGCATTCGGTGTATTTAGGTGGACAAATACCTGCACCAACTGAAGTTGCCGGATGAGACGTTGATGGATTTGTCTGTGAGGTTCCGGCGTGAGATGGACAAAGGCCTGTGCAGGGACACCAACCCCACCGCCGCCGTCAGGATGCTGCCCACCTTCGTGCTCTCCACTCCCGACGGAACCGGTAACGCCTGCTTTGTAGCACAGCTGCTCCATGAAGGAGCTCTGCTGAGCACAAACTGTTAGCGGAAGTCCCAAATCCACCCAAAAAGCCCCACTCAGACCAGAAATTGAAGTTTGCTCTGACGGCTTCAGACTAAAGACTCTGTGAGTTATTGTGCAGAACACAACAGAAACCTGATTTCCAAATTCCCAGACTTCACAAAATTAAAGCTGCGCTGTAACCATGCTTTGTTAACAACAAGGCCACAGGAGCTGAATTTACTGCATTAAAACTTTTCAAATGTATTCTTTTTTCTCTTCCCATCAATAGCTGATCTCAGTAATACATTTGCGCTCCGATTTCTTTTTTTTTTTAATACAAGGGAGCCCGTGAAGCCTTTCTTCACTGACAGAGTTTTCCTTTTGATTTCCTTTTACCCCAGTGTCATGCAAACAAAGTGCTTTTTCAACATTTTGGACTGGTGCTAGAGAACAGTGGGGACATGGTCTCATATCGAATATGGAATAATGTTGAAAACAAGGCAAATAGGAGGCGTCTGCTGCTTTAGCTGATTTAAACCATCCCATTAGTCACAGGAAAGTTATTTGAGGTTCAAAATCAATCAGCCAGGGCAAGCAATGCTGTTGATTACACACAACATTTAGCTTGTTTTCATGCAGAATAAATCCAGTTTAAAAGAACATACCTTTGAGACTCGTTTGCTTTCAGTATGAAGTTGTCATAGTGTGTTAAATGTAGAAAATAGCCACAGAAAACATGGTATTAGCAGGGCTAATCCTTTAAAAACACATCAAGTCAACATGTTTTGCACATTTAAATCAGAATTGTTAGTATAATCTTCAAGTTTTAGAGAAAAGGAAACAAGTTTACAGAGCTAAATGTTATCACCTATTTATGATGGATAAATCGTTATAAATTGTCAGAATTGTACAAAGAATGAGCATGAAAGGCACGATTCAAATTGTTTTCTCACAAAACACAGTCTGATTATTTCTTTGGTTTGTTTGTGTTTTTTTCAAAGAGCAAGGAGAGTTCCTTGCGCTCGACCTCGGTGGGGCTAACTTCCGCGTGCTCCTGGTAAAGGTCCGGGCTGACGGCGAGCGGGGGGTGGAGATGGAGGACCAGATTTATGCCATTCCGGATGACATCATGAGGGGCAGCGGGTCTGAGGTAACAAGCCGCCATGTTGTCCAAATGCTCGAGCTTGGCCGCAAATTAGTTCGCATTTCCACCCTCCGTTTAGTGGGAGTTTAACACCTCAATAAACCAAAAATGTTGGTCTCTCGCCAAAAAAAAAAGAAAAAAAGACAAATAGAAAGGCATGAAGCCAGCCTGACAGTCGCCAGCGGGACTATTAGTGACACGCTGCTGGAGTGAGTCTGTTCGGGCCTCCAGCTGCTTTCATGGCTTCAACAAACGGTGGAGAAAATCCAATCTGCCCTACAGCAGCCAAACACAACAGAGACATGGAGAACGTGGAAAAGTGTGCACTGGAGTTCGAATTAACAAGAGAAGTATGTTCCCTGCAGGGCAGGACCCCTCTGATTAGGCAAAAAAAAAAAGCAGGTGAGCAGTAAAACTGCCTTTAGATTTACATTCAGTGTCTGTTACCGAGTTTTGACAGAAAACTGCTAATTCTGACCTTCTCTTTCTGTGAATAGCATAAAAAAACTAACAAAAGCCTATTTAAGCATACTAAACCAACTTAATATTTTCCTCAGCTGAAAATAACTATTTTGAATCAATCCCTTTGACCTAAACCTAAGTATGAAATACAGTCTAAAAAATTAAAAGGTTAGTAGAAACGCCCACTCAGTGCGCATGAAAGAAAGACCTGCCCGCGGATGTTCACAGTTAATCATGTAAACCATGCAGATAATCAGATTATCTCCTTAGAATAAATGCAGGAGGGCTGTTACTGTGATATGATGCAGAAGTGTAATTACAGTCTGAATTGTGAAGTTTCTAACCTCAGAAATGATACAGCTCCTGTAAATGTGTCTGTTGGGTCCTTACTAACAATAATGAAAGAAAAGATCTCAGCTCTGACTTCCCCGCTCATGTTCTCGGCTCCTGCTTAATGAGACTGGACTAAAAAGAACTCTTTCTTCTCGTAGTTGTTCGACCACATAGCTGAGTGTTTGGCTAGTTTTCTGGAGAAGATGGGGATGAAGGATAAAAAGCTTCCTCTGGGCTTCACCTTCTCCTTTCCCTGCCAGCAGACCAAACTGGATGAGGTGAGTGATTTGTAATTTGTTTTGGAGGTAATGTTGGAACCATACTCGATTTTCTTTGTGTTAAGCAGTCAAATCAGAAGCTTTGGCTGTCCGAAAATGAACTGATGTTGAATGATGACATCCCTTTAGCTCGCACCCCCTGCAGTCAGTTCATTCAGATACCCAGATCCTCTGTAGGGAAGAACCTGTCAGAACCGGCGCCACTGATCGTGTGAGCTCTCACTCTGGTTTTCTCTGCTCTGTCAGCAGAGGAAACTGTGACATGTGCGAGATTTTGCCCGCTGAACTGACAGCTGGTCTTTACCCCTTTTGAGGATGTTTGTCCTCCACTCTGAAAAGTCTTTGGGTTGCTTTAGGCATGATGGATGTTTTTGTGCTGTAGGCATCCAGACTTTGTCTCTACCTCTCTACGTTTATCTTCAGCTTTTACTGTGAATAAATTCATTCAAACGAGAATGCTTAAAGCAAAACATAGGCCTAGATTTGACATAAGAGGCAGTACTTTTGCTCATGAGCTTTTCATAGATCAGGGCTCCCTAACAGGCTTTTTCCACCAGCTCACAATGAAAAACACTGGAATCTGAAATCATCTTTATTCATTATCAGCTTTTAATTTGGGCTGACAGATGGATGAAATGTCTATTGACTTTTTTCTGAGATACCTGCTGAGAGAGAGAAACACAAGTGAATGACAACAATCATGTCTCATAGAGAGGAAAGAGAGCTGAGGGAGTAGAGGAGAGCTCATTATGTGGCCCCAGTTGAAAGAAGACATGGTAGATAGGACATACATTTCCTAATTAATCATCCTTGACGTGTAGCTCTGTTGTGTCCTGGAACTTGGGAGATATCTCAAAGTTGCTCTGATTTTCCTTGATATGCTGTCTCGCGCTACACACTCCAGAAATTGTCACTAAAGGCCTCTAAATAGCTGGTCTAAGAGCCTCAGGGGGCTGTTTTCACAGAATTAATCTGAGGAGATAAACGTGCCAGCACACATGCGTCAGCATCTATCATGTTGAGAAATGCAAACTGCGTCAGTGCTTTATAGTTCCAGCGACTGGATGGGAATCTCTATGAAGTCTGCTGAGCAGATTTAGCATTCCCGGCGTTTGCGCGCTCCTCCAAAAGCTTTGGGAGTGGTTTCCACCACCACCTCTGAATGTTTTCTGAAGGGGTCTCTGATTGATGGCAGCTCAACTTGATTTGACCAGAATGACAAATTATTTCAATGTTTGTTGAGTCGCTCTCCTGCAAACAGTGTGCGATTCTCAGAGAGTCTTCTGGCCCAGCTATGTCGTTGCAGGGTCACGAGCCAGAAATGTCACGACGGTGATTATTACGTTTTCTCCTTTCAACATTTCCAGTGCACTTTAAGGAATATCGAGTTTGCTTCCATGAGCTTGTTTTAAAAAAATGACTGATGTTTTAAACCGGCAGCACCGATAACTCCATCTTTGTCATGCAGTAGCCATTAATCATTTCTTTTGTCACATATCCTGTATTTAAAAGATAATTAGCTGTAATCATTTGAAAATAAACACAGTTTTGACCCCAATCTGTCCTTATTTTCTCGTTTGCAGAGCGTTTTGTTGTCATGGACCAAAGGCTTCAGGATAAGTGGAGTTGAAGGAAAGGATGTGGTCAGCCTTCTGAAGAAATCCATAAATAAACGAGGGGTAATGATGCAATTGATTTCAAATGTTGGGTTGCTTTATCAGTTGTTGCCGGGGGGGGGGATCAACACAAACTGGATAAATTCCTGAGCAAAAGAGACAGCAAACAGCTTCTTCTGATAGAGATAAATGAAATATCCAGCAGCTGTCTGAACCAGCTTCAGAAACATGAAGGAGCTGAGATGGTTTAGATTCCATACGAAACTGAGGACACGGAGCACGACAGGATATATATCTTGCAAATTTTGCAAGGGGTCATTTTTCTTGTCCTTCTTCGAATCGGTGAAGTCGAGAAGCAGATGCATTTATCACTAAACAAAGAGCAGCTACACCTTCTGCGATGCTCAGAGCCTGTTTGTGCCGGCTGCCTCCACACGCAGCCTGTGCAGGTGGCTGATGATTTGATGAACCCCTGCCGGGAGCTTTAAAAAGCCAGTGATCGCCCCAGCTGCAGATTTGGAAGGGCGTTTAAAACTGAAAGTCAGCAGAGTAAATGCTAGATCAAAGCCACCGGAAAAACTTCAGCCCTAAAATGAATTTTTTCACTTTCAGTGCTTATTTCCTGGTAGGGTCTCTATCATTTCTGTCTTTATTTTTCATTTATTCTTTTTTTTAAGATATCAAGATGTAAATGGAAAATTTTCCAGTCTTCATCTGGTCTCATAATGGTGAATGCAGCCTCAAATGAAAGCTTAGGTTTGCAAAGCTGCATCTCGACAGAGACTTTTGGAACAAGGGGCTGAACAAACAAAATGTATTATCCGATATATCACATTTAAGTTAAGTTGAGCTGACTTTCATTGCAGGACTTTGATGTGGACATTATGGCAGTGATCAACGACACCGTGGGAACCATGATGACTTGTGGCTATGAAGATCAGCTCTGTGAAATAGGCCTCATTGTGGGTATGTCAACTTCAGTGGAAAATTATATCTGGGATCTAACTGAAAAAATTGTCTTTTTATTATGCGTTTCATGTATACATGTCGGTGTAGCCGACCCAAAACGTAAACAAATTAAGCAGCTACATCAGGCCCTATGACCACTAGGGGGCCCCCATGAGCAATTAAATACATTATTTTAGCATTCTCTTATTTTCTCTTTTTTTCGCATATTTGAGTCATAATTCCTGTTATTAAAGGTATATAGTTATTCAAATATACCCCAAAACATACACAAACATTGATTAATTTCCTTTAATTGAGCAAATCTCTGGCCTGTTTCCGTTGTTTCAATTTGCAAGCAGCAGCCTCCTTCAGTGTATCCCTAATGACAGAATAGAACATTAAACTAGTTTACTCTACATGCCTGAATGATCAATAATCAGTATTATTGGCAGAAATAGAGACCCCCCCCTAAATCAAAATGTGCGTAAGGCCCCCCCATTGAACCAGAGCTGCATGAAAATGACGTCTTTCAGACTCTTCGGTACATAAATACTTGTTTGCAGAGTTTATGTTGTGTTCCATTTTACTTTAGTAGATTTTATCATTTCCCTGTTAAGTCTGCATTGTAAAACTTGTACGATTCTTTCCTTGATGTTTATTTAAAAACAAGCACATGATAGCAAGATACATGATACCATAACTCCTTTCGAACTTTTGAGTCTCTGTGTAGAACTCAAAAGATTAATTGCATAATTTTCTGATAAGAACAAACATCAGAGTAACTTATATATATGTGCTTCTTCTGTTGTATAAAACTTTACAGAAAGAGTCAATTCAAACTGACTTGCAGTAAAGGTAATGAAGAAGGACAGAACATATTAAAGAGTGACGCATAAAAGCAAATAACTATGGGAGAAAAGATGTGGATAGATAAAAATAAAGCGAAACGACTGAAGGGAAAATTTAAGTAACAGATGCATCAGAGGTCAAATCTGAAAGCCAATCAGCTCATCCTCGGGAAGTGTGGAAAAAAAAGCAGTTTCAAGTTGAAATGCCAAACAGGAGCGACATCAGCAGTTGTCAAATCATCCCAGGAGGGAAGTTCAGTTCAGACCGTCTAAGCCTCAGTTAGCGTGTTAAAGGTTACGACCGCTCAGAATGCAGGAAATGTATAAAAAGGTGTGAAATTAAAACCAAGTCCTCAAAACTGCAGGGCTTCACTCGCAGTACGCTTTGATTAAAAGTAGCTCTGCCACATCACAGAAGGAGAGCATTGGACAACTAGAAGTTGTGGGTAATGAAAGGTTTAAGGCGCCTCACTGGGTTTGCTCAAAGACAAGAGGAGAGAAGGATGGCAAGGCCATGTGGTGAGTGGGGGCGAACCATCCACAACTTTCTGGAGGAAAGCAAATGACTATACTCATTCCGAATCTCCATATTGGTAGATGTTTATTCTTTAAAGAGCAGTAAGCTTTACTGTTACACGTGGCTGGTAATGAGGCTACAGATGCACCTATTGGAGTCACTGAAAAACATTAAAGGCAGAAAAACAAATTTGAATAAACAGCTTAATAAGAAACAAAACCTGCATATAGCAGAACAAAACATAGCAAATGTATAAATAAAATGGATGGGTGGTGGCTGCTGGTGAGGAAGCTTTTTATCCATGTGCAAATCCTGGAGTCAACTTGTGAGTCCAGCAGTTTCCTAACGAAGGCCTGATTATCTGCAGAAGTCTGTGCAGCTCCCGGCTGCTGCAGGTGGCTTGGTGTGCGTCCTCAGTGGATCGCTTTGCCCAAAAGGCGTGCTGGTGGTGATTGAACGCTCAGGCATATCAATGACTACATATATCTACTTCCCTCCAAGTTTTTGCTATTTGTTCCTTTCGACGCCAAAGCTTTTAGGACCGAAACGTCCAGCAGAGAAAAGTGGGGTCCTGTGAAATTAAAGTAAGAAAGTGCCGTTACAAATCATTTCATCCTCTGTGGTCTGAGTCACTCTCCATTAGATTTCAGCTTATTCAGAGCACTCCTCAAAGGCTGTGCAGAGAAATCAGAGGACCAATCAGGAGTCATTAAGAACCTTCCAGGAGACTTATACTGATGTCATTTATAAAGCCCTAAATAAGGGTAATGAACCCAGTTGAAAGGATACCAGCAACTCTAATCAATATTAAAAAGAAAGACTAGACATATAGAAAGACACCCAAAGTCAGAGACACAGAGTCCTGCATTTTTTATTTTTTTGAATATGTGCTTTGAACTAATGTGTTTGTAAATTTACAAAGCAACTGCAGGAGTTTGGGTTCTGGAGGACAGATGAAATGAAGTAGATCAGAATTGCTGATAAAACTCCAATGTCTGGATTCATCAGAATCAGAATTACTTTATTAATCCCTTGTGGGAAATTCTTTTCTTGCAGTGCACCCGTTTACAGAAGACATTTTATTTTTTACATTTTTTTTTACAATCAACAGTATTTACAATGCTGCTTAGTACCTAAATTACTATAATTGCACATGATCGGTTATTGCACATAGAGAAGTAATGAAATAAATTAATAATAAGTAATGAAAACAAATGACTGTCAGAGAGATGAACTATACAGGTTGATGACAGGCAGGAATGAGTTCCTGTAGCGCTCTGTGGGGCAGCGTAGGTAAAATGATCCTCTGACTGAAGGTGCTCCTGTGGGTGACCAGCACATCATGAAAAGGATGGGCAGAATTGCCCAGCATGGATTTAATCCTGGCCAACATTCTTCTGGCTGACACTGCTGTTTATCTGCACTTAACGGGTGGTTTCTAACCCGAAAGAAGAGCCGACATGCTCGTCAGTGCAGACATGAGTGGAATGTCCAGAGAGAAGTTTAGTTATTCTCATGTGATCTCTTCTGTGAAGGAACGGGGACCAATGCCTGCTACATGGAGCAGATGAGGAACCTGGACACGCTGGATGGGGATGAAGGGCGGATGTGCGTCAATACGGAGTGGGGCGCCTTTGGGGACGACGGCGCTCTGGAGGACATCCGCACGGACATCGATCGGGAGATAGATGCCGGCTCGTTGAACCCTGGAAAACAGCTGTGAGTCTCCAGGAGGTTTGGGCTCTCAACACAGCTGGAGACAAAACGAGCAGTTTTGCAGTCCCAGTTTGGTTTTCGATGTTTCACGCAGATTTCCTGAACCTGAGATGAAAACCAGTGGACGCCGGGTACTTTGTGTTAGGAGTCAGGCTGTTGGGTAGCAGATGAGGCATCATTTGTTATAGCAGGCCCGGGGTAACAAAGGTTCAGATGGAGGGAGCGGTGCAGATGCAGCAGCGCTGCTGATCGATGGATCTGCTGTGTGCATCTTTTAAAGGATTCGATTCTTTCGTGTTGCATGTAACAACGAGCTAACATTTGTCAGTCTGTTAAATCTGCCAGAAGACAGGCCTGTGTGTTTGTGTTCCTCAGGACTCTGATTTAATTCAGGTTCTGTATTGATGCAACCACAGAAAATCTGTTGTGCTGAAGTAGTTCTGCGTTTGGAGCCTTGTGTGGTGAGATGAGTGTTTGTGTACCTGCTTTTGTTGGCTCTGCCTCTTCGGTGTTAATGAGCACGATGCCGAGCCAGAGCAGGTTAAAACCTGCATCTGCCGCAGCGCCATTTGGCTCGGGGCGGGCTGATTACGCCGTTTCACACTGCCAACGTTGGCGGGTGTTAGCCGAGTGGACCAAAGGCAGTATGGGGCGTCATGATTTTTGCAAGTCCTTCTGAAATCAGTCACCTTCTCTTTAACATTGACCTTTCAATTAAGCTCTGCACCCCGGTCCTGTGAGGCTCATTCCCACCGAGCAGGCCAAACACAATAAACGAGGAGTGCATCTGGCAGCTGCCTCTATTAGGGTTAGGGTTTAGGACCAGTTGAAGATGTTTTCCCACCTCCAGGCTCTTTTTCATTTGAGGCTGCTCCCTCTCAGCCATCACTGTCTTTGTGCTCACACCTTCAGCCCGTCATGTGCTGCAGCGTTCCCCCAGCATCACACCCGTGAAGGCATCTCAGCCCTCATCAGCACGTCCACATCTGTCTTTGGCCTGAGTTTGAGTCACTTTCATCTGTTATTTATTTAATCTTTCAGGTTGATGCCGTGTGCTTTATCCAGGAGAGAGACTCTTATCCTCACTATGGACGCACACACATCAGTGTGAAATATTGGGAGAGAAGAAAATGTGTTACTTGAGTGTTTTTTTTCCCTGCGACCTACATAACACATCATTTCTGAAAGTTCAGAAATCATGTGGATTTAAGAGCCGCACTCCACAGCTGCTCAGTGGCAGCATTTGGTGCTAACAGGGAATGAGTGCGACTGACTGTGGATTGCATACCAGAATACGATTGACTCCATCACTTGCCCTGGATTCTAAAGAGTACTTCTTAATCCGCCTGCTCAGTTTAATCTGTGCTGCTATTGAGCTTTTTTCTTAATTGACTTGTAAAGGTACACAGTGAGGATTGTTGTAAAACTTTGTTCTCCTGTCTTGTCGTGCTGCTTTGAACCCACCGATATGACGAGATGCTTCATTTGCAAACAAATGGATGAGAGGAGGGCCATCCATCTGCTTAACTCTGAGCTTTAAACTTGTTTTTGTTTTTGCACCACACTTATGCACCTTAACTATATAACAGGGGTATTGAACCTCATTTCTTTTCTTGTTTTATTATCTTTTTCCTTTCTAAAAAGATGTTTGACTGTTGGTACAAAAAACATCTCACTGCACATTGTACTGCATATAATTGTGTATGTGACAGATGAAGATTATCTTGAAAAAAAAGTCAATGGCCCTTTTTCATATTCGAAAAAACCTTCGTTTTTCTCTAGAAACTTTTGCAGTTCAGGTTACTTCCTGTCCTTTACCGGCAAATGTGTTGCGTTTCTCACTGACACAGAGTAATCCCTTACACCCAGGTTTCACTGATTGGCTCAGCTTGCCGCCTTCATAGCGTCCACATGGCATGACATGTTTAGTGTTTTAGGTTTGGTTTTTGTGAAAGCAGCATTCCTGGTGCTTTATCCACACCGTCTCTACAGAGGACCAGCAGAAATGATGAACTTGCTCTGCACAGCCTGTCCCCTTTAAATCAGTCACAAGTGAGTGGTCCTGAGAGAAAAAAGGCTATGAATTCAGCTGCAAATCTGTCTTGGCAGGATGCTGTCAATATTTTACAGTCCATCCAACAATTCTTATTTAGTGTTTGTAAGGCCTGAGTCGCTCTGACATGCCAGAGAAAGTGGGATATAGATTTTAAGGTAGAGGTCAACCTCTCAGGAGGGAGTTGAAAGTAAGGAGGTCAAGAGCTCTTTTTGGTGGCCAGCACCAAACAACAACCCACTGAAGTTAAAGAAAGGTCCAATCCAAACAAGGTCAGTCATCTAGCCTATTATTAAGGTAGTTTTTTTTATTTATTGTTTCATTTTTAGATGAACACCATTAAACTTACATGATATGTGTATTTCTTGCTTTCTGTGTAAAATATTTGTCATTTAAGTTGTTCGGAAAAAGGAGTCTGTAAAGGTAGATTTTTCTTCACAGCCCACACAAATCTCCTGTTTTATGAAGCTTTTCATTCATTTCCACCAATGTTCCTATTTTTCCGTCGTATTTTTATATCTGTGCACTGATGTAACAGTTGAGTTAAGCTGATGATTTGTACTGAAATAAGAAATGAGAACAGTTCATGAAGGTGAATCCTACAGTTTCTACAGGCGGGAACTGGAAAAAGGGGAATTGTTCATCTTATTGCTATGATTTGGTTCCTTTTGACCTCAAAGGAAGCCGATGGAGCGTCAGATTGATGGGTTTGTGAGTTGGATGAGGGCATGCCGGTCTTTGTTAACATAAACCTACGTCAGTCTGCAGAAGTGCTAATAATACACGAGTTTCAATAAAGGCGTTTAACAGCAAAGTAACGCCGAACAGATGGATTTTTCGTCCTTTGTGACATGAGTAATGAAGCACTCTTTTTTTTTTTTTTTTTTTTTATTTTTTTTTTTTTTTTAAAAAAAAAATTTTCCTTCACTTTCTTTGATTACAGCTTTTCCCATTTAAGATCGTACATGAGTATACTACCGGAATGTTTAAATGAGTTTTTCCATACTGTCTTTCTAGTATTTTTACAGACTATTTCTAAATTTTAATTGTAAACAATAACAAAAATGAACAGAATTAAACAATAATGGGGATTGCACCATCTCAAGCAATAAAAAAACAACAACACAGGAACATACAAGGGGGGGGCACATACTTCTCAAGAACAGTCAAATGAAGTCAGATCTAGTCGGTTTTACATACTCGGTCCATTTGGTCCAGATCTTATAAAACTTTCCCTTTTCAACTTGGAGGGAAAAAGAAATCTTTTCCATAACATAAATCTGGTGAACAATTTCAATCCATTCATCGATAGTGGGTGGGTCTGGTTTTAGCCATTTCCTTGTAATGGCTTTCTTACTGGCTGCCAGTAGTATTGCCAGGAGTTTTTTGTCTGCATTTGTCCATGTGTCCAAATGTAAGTTACCCAAGTACAACGTTTCACATTTGAATGGAATCTTTACATTAAATACATTTTCAATATGTTTGTGGAGCTCTTCCCAGTATGGTGTTATTACTTGGCACTCCCAAAAAACATGGAAGTGGTTGGCTCCCTTAGACCCACAGAGCCTCCAGCAGGCGTCATCGTTGTTTTGATATCGTCTCTGAATGGGTGTAACAAAAAATCGTACAACATTTTTCCAACAAAACTCCCGCCATGTGTTCGATCCAGTTGAGACCCACTGCAGTTGACATATTTCTTCCCAGCCTTCTTGTGAGATTTTAACCTTAATTTCCTTTTCCCATTTCCTCTTTATGTATTCTGTATTCTCATGTTTAGACAGCTGTATGGCATTATATAACTTTGAGATAATTCTACTGTCTGAACTGGGTTTAATTAGTGATAAAAATGTCTCCATGAAACTTGAATCACTCTTTCTCAGCCCCTCTTTAAAATTTCTATTAAAATAATGTCTCACCTGCAGGTACCTAAAAAAATCCTCTTTCTCCAGTCCATGATCCTTCTGTAGGGTTTCAAAACTGTGAAATATCCCTTTATGGACAAATGAATAATAGGTAGTTAATCCTTTTGAGATCCATAACTTAAATCTATTATCAATCTTATTAGGTGCAAAATCTGAATCGTAGGCACACCACCTCATAATTTTAGATGTTTTTCCTATTCTGCAGATTTTAGCCAATTCCTGCCAGGACCTGAGAGAACTACCTGTAATGGAGTCTTCTGGAATCTGCTGTTCCTCTTGTAATTTATGATCACCGAGTAGGGCTGTTATTGGGATTCCTTTTATTGTTGTGCTTTCTATTTCCTTCCATGCTGCGGTGTATGATGATGAGCACAGGCAGACTAAAGGTCTCAGCTGGGCTGCGTGGTAGTAATCCTGCAAACAGGGAAGGCCCATTCCACCCTTTTCTTTTTTTAGTTGTAAAGTTTTAAACTTAATTCTGGCCTTTTTACCCTGCCATAAATATCTCGCTATTAATCTATCCCATTCTGAGAACTGTTTAGGTGGAATTCTGACGGGTAAATGAAGCACTCTTATGAATATCTATCTTGGATGCTGAGCAGAATTTGTTTCGTATTAGTCTAGGTATGTGACAGTTTATTTCATTCTGTCCTCGTGTAGAGTTGATTGAACAAAGAAGTGGAAGACTAGATTCTGTACATGCTGCAACGTTAATATGTGAACGGTTTATATGTTAGAATCATGTTCTTTGACTCCTACTTAGAGACCAGTATCTGGGTATGGGGGTGGCCCCCTCTCTGACGTCATGGGTTACAGACTATTTAACTTTCAAATGTGTTGATGAGATACTGAAATTAAGTCCTGGGGTTCGACAGTGCACTGTTTTAGCTCTTTACTCCCCCCCAGTTTTAAACTTTTCAGATGTGTTGTACTTTGAGTAGAGTAGAGGGGAAGATGGAAGGCCCTCATGGCTGGTCCAAAACGATCTGTCTGAACACCACCAAGACCAAAGAGCTGCTGGTGGACTTCAGGGAAAAGGAGCCTTTTAAGTCCCTTTTTTTGTTGGCACGTTTGCCTTAATTTCACAAATGGGATAGCCTAATGGATTTCTCAAAACCAGGTTTTAGGACCTTTTTTCTGCATGACCTCACACTCGGATGAATTTCGCAAGCATCGTCACGAGTGTTTGCGTTGTGTAAGTTCTCACACTGAGTTTTGCAAGCTGGTGCATTTCGACACACATTTACCTTCATAGTACAGAGACATTGTGGAGTTTTTGGGTGGTTTGGCAAAAAAGAATCGTCCCCTTTTGAAAATCACCAAAACCAAAGAGCTGGTGGTGGACTTCAGGAGATCTTAAACATCAGGCCGGCCAGTCTGCATTGATTGAAATTGTTCAGACATGCAGATAAAGCAGATGAGGGGGAGGTTTTATTTGACACTGGAGATTTCTAAACAACTCCTCCAAAACTTGTTCAGGAGGTCCTTTTGTCTAGCAGCCATGCAGCTTTTTAAATGTAACTTCTAACAGTTCTTTTCAGATTCTTATTAATTTTGTTATTTCATTAATAACATTAATTTGTTCTGGTGTTGAATAATTGTAAATATTTCCATTTTTTACCTTAACGATTCAAATGTCCCCCACCTCTTCTGTATCTGGTGTGCAGGTTTGAAAAGATGATAAGTGGCATGTACATGGGGGAGCTGGTGCGTCTCATCTTGGTGAAGATGGCCCGAGAACAGCTGCTGTTCCAGGGCAGGACCACGCCGGGGCTCCTCACCACCGGACGCTTCAGCACCAGCTACATCTACGGCATTGAGGACGACAGGTTAGTTTTGTTTTCCTAGCACGTGTGAGACGCCCACAAGTAGCCATTAGTTCAAAGAGCACCTGGCTGTTTCTGTGAACCAGATAAATGCCCAAGCAGATCGTATGTTTGTATCTCTTTAGAGCTAACAAAGGGCATATTCTGCCATTTTTTTAAACCAAAAAATGTCAATTTCCAAGCAAGAGAATAGCAAAAGACCTCCAATTAGAACAAAAAAAAGGTCAAGCTGGCAATAAATCTGTTGCACCAGATTTCGACTCGCCCTGCTATTAATGCTGTTTCCAAGCCGATTCGAGATCTTGACAAACCAGAGGATCTGGGAGGATCCTCCAAATCTAAATAATTGTGTGTGTGGAGTTTGTTTGCTGCGGCTGATATAGTGAAAACATGCCTGTTATCATCCAGACACCTGACTGGTGTTTGAAAAATGGGCATTTTGACTAATCCCTGCTTTTGTAGCCTGATGCTTAAGGATTTGTGTGGAGCTCCACCAGAGATTTCTTTTAGTCATTACAGTCAGAATTGGCTCTGACCTGTCCTCTAAATTTACCCAACCTGTCTAACTGCCTAATTTTTAGGTCTCTTGAAGCTTCTCTCCAGCTTGTATCAATTCTCTCATCTGCATTCCTGCATATGGATTTTCTTCTTTTTTTTATTCAAAATTCACTAAAAATAAGAAAAAAAACTCCCTTGCATGAATTGTGACTCATTTTCTCCCTCTTTCAAAGCATGGGGACCACTGAAATGCTAATCTGGCCCCGGCCACTTTTAACAGCCCACAGCGATTCTGCAAAGTCTTCTGAAACTCTGCAGAAGTCCCTTTTTGTGCGAATAAACTATGTGAAAGTACTTATCAGGCTTCAAATGCAACACTCTTGGGCTTTTCACTGAAGAGGTGCTTTTACTCTTTTTAGGTGGACACCAGTGTACCTGCAGGTCACAGTGACTCTGAGAGAAAAGGGTGGCTGTAATCAATCTTTAAGTCTTTATGCTTTTTAATGAGACTGCCACATCTCTAGATAAACTATGTTCTGAAAAGCAAACAGGGCTACCAAACCAACTCTCTCAAGAAAAGTTTTTTTTTCTGTACAGAGATTTATTGTCTCATCGATTACTCGTCTAGCCCCCCCATACTTATTCATGAGTTTGCGGCTCTGTGCTCATTGCAAGTCCCCAGTTGAGCAGACCTGACACTCTTTATCTGTCTAATGGCTTATTGTTGGAATGCAACTTAATAACCTCTGTCTGTGTCTTCTGAGGAGCAAAACTCAGAGTGTGTGATAGCATAACATGTTGATGATTAGAGGAGTCGGGCTTTGAGACATTTTCTGTCAGATGTAAGGAAAAAAAAGTAGATCATTCATGAATGAAATGAAATGTTTAATGTTGACGGATACGTCACAGATCAGTTAACTCATTCGCTGCCAAAGACGTCTATAGACGTCTTTTCAAATCCAACCGCTGACTGCCAAAGACGTCTATAGACGTCTTTTATGTTTTTCAATGCGAGTGGCTTCGGGGACGATCGGCGAAAGTTTTTCCGTAAATATCGGCTTCTAGACAGAGTATGGACTAACAAATTTACCCTCTAGGTAGCTGTGCCACTTTTGATGGGAGATTAGCATAGATTGTAAGCAAATAAAAACAAATGCAATAGTTCGCTATGAGAGAAATGGCGCTGGTGAGACGCACGTCGAAGAAGAACGGAATGAGGTAGAAACCAAATCTTTTTTCCTGATGAAAGAAGAGAGTCTACTCTTTCTTTTGGTGTGTTCGGTGTTTACATAGTCATAGCACAAACTATTCTGTGGCTCTTGAAAAATCAGTCAAAATTCTCAAAAAACTCTGGCAGTGAGCGACTCTCTGTTCTGAAAATGGCTGGCAGTCAATGAGTTAATATATTAACAGACACATATACACAGATCTGAGTTTTTAATAGACCCGTTTGAGCTCCAGCGCCCTGACAGCGGGGTGAATTTGTTTTTACGTGAAGATGGAAAAACTAAAACACAAAAAAATGCTGATGTTATTCGTTTAAAGTGGCTGTTAAAGACCAAGAGTCTCAAAGTGACCAAGGACACTTTGTCTTAGTTTCTTTGGGCCACAGACAATTATTCCAGATAAGTTTTGGGTTTAACTAGAGGAAAGCGTGTTTTGTATCCACACAGTGATCTGTTCCACAGACACACAATGCAAAGGTCTGGCCTAGTGGAAGCACGTGCAGATTGGGTGTTCAGGATAAAAGGATTAATATATGTCGTTTTTTTTGCCTTTTTTCCGGCAGAGAAGAAGAAGGCCTGGCGAGCGCTGAGAAGGTGCTGCGCGGCCTGGGTCTGGACCCGTCGGAGGAGGACTGCAGGGCCACTCGGAGAGTGTGTCAGATAGTTTCCACGCGGGCCGCTCACCTGTGCGCCGCCTCTTTGGCGGCCGTGCTGCGGCAGATCCGGGATAACAAAGCGGCCGAGAAGCTGCGCACCACCATCGGAGCGGACGGCTCGGTGTACAAGAATCATCCAGAGTAAGAGATGGCAGCGCCTGCCTTACCCTGAAGTTCTTAACTCACAGCCATCTGAGCTGTCTGATCAGAGGTGGACAGTAACAAAGTTTTTTGCGAATTTGGACTTTACTTGAGTTTAATTGTTTTGTATTATTTTCACTCCACATTGTAAAGATAAAAATCATACATTTTACTCCACTAAATTCCTCTGAAGGCTTTTGCTTCTCGTTACTTCCGTTGTTTGTGCTTTTAATGTAGTTTGCATCTATTTTGTCCCCTCCAACGCCTTAAAAAAATTACCACTGCTGGCTTGGACAAAAAGAAGAGTTATTTTTGTCCTCTGAGTGTTGCCGTACAGCCACTGGGCGCGCGGGTGAATCCTGGGTCACACTTTGCTGCCATAGTTGTAGTTGGTCTCAAGTTGTTCTGGTGTAAATTGTACAGGAAATATTTCAAGTTCCAGCTTTCCTTGGGCTAATGCTGAAAATGTTTATTTTATTCTACTTCATTTATCGAAATTGAGCCATCTCTCATGCCTTGCATCCAGAGGGTCACTGATACGAATCCTTGCCCAGTGGATACCATCTATGTGCCCCTGGGAAAGAGCCTGTCCATGTATGACTGTGATAGTGTGACTCTGCTGGTCCTTTGAGACGTTTTTAGGTGCAGAATGATGCTGCCACACGGCATCTGACTGAGGAGTTAATGAATCTTAAACTTCGTTTCAGTTGAACGTCTTTTAGATAAGAGAAGGTTTTTCATTTAAACTGCATGTCATGCTGCTTCTGTAATGACGTACCAACAAAGGCTTCTGCCTTCTTAGTCATCAAAGCTGACAGTGCTTGGCGATAATTGTCCTTGCCCTCTTTTTCCCTGAAAAAACATGTGTGCTTCAGTATTCTTAGTCTCATTTTTACTCCCACATGCTGCTCCACACACACCTTATTGTATTATGGGGTCCTGTTATTGATATACTTCTTTCTTAGATCTTAATAGGCACTTTTTATTCATTTTAGTGGAAAACCAGACCTTTGCATTGGCTTATAGTTGCAAATTGAGGTGAACGCCTTCAGGAGTTTTTAATCTCAGCTGCTTGATTTGATTCTTTTCATCTATTAAAAGATATTTTTCCCCCTCTCCGTTGTGTATAAATATGGTACATAATCCTCGTCACATCCAGCTTCAGTTTAGCTCCAAAAAGGGAAAAGAGCGGCTGAAGGAGGTTAAAGATTTTCAATTGTGAGAGAAACTAGATTAACCTATTTTACAGGACTTTTTTTTAATGTGATTGCATTTTTTTTAACAATCTAATTGTGTTGATGTTTTTTTTATCCAGTGAACATTTTATTCGCTAATAAGAGAAAGAGAAAAAGAGAGAGGGCCAAAATTGAGGGGAGACAAAAACTACCCTCGTATTTTTTTTTTTTGCATTCTCTAAGGTGTCCGTCACGCCTAATTTGTTGGTGTGACTAGGGGTTTAAAGATTAGTTTATGTTAAACAAAAAAAACTTTCAAAGGATGGGAATGTTATCTCAGTAAGAAGTTGAAGGAATGCAGGCAGCTAAAATCAATACTTTTATCCCTTTTTTTGTTAGTTGTTTAAAATCAGTCTGATTATGGGTTTTGGAGATTAACCTTTTCCCTGGAGCAGATTTATTTGCCAATTGAGGCAAAATGTTAAAGTTCAAAAAGTTTCTATGTCAAAAAAACAAACAGAAATGTGTCTTTTTTTGTGTTTGTGTCTCTGCAGGTTTTCCAGGCGGCTCAACAAAATGGTGCGGCGGCTCGTGCCGGACTGTGACGTGCGCTTTCTGCAGTCCCAGGTTGGCAGCGGGAAAGGAGCTGCCATGGTAACAGCAGTAGCCTACCGTCTCGCCGCGCAGCACGCCGAGCGCCAGCGGATACTCGACACGCTGCGTCTGAGTCGTGAACAATTACTGGAGGTGAAGAGGAGGATGTCAGAGGAGATGAAGCGAGGCCTGTCGAAGCAAACACATGAGCAGACCAGCGTCAAGATGCTTCCCACCTTTGTCAGATCCACCCCGGATGGAACTGGTTTGTATTAGATTACAAAAGCTCTCCTCTTTATCACACTTTTTATATTTTTCATCCACTTCTTTTTATTTTGCATTCAAGGACTTCTTCAAATCCTTTGAATTGACTTGAGGCCAAGTTTTCCTGACTTTTTTAAAGTTCTTTCTTGGTTTTTATTTGGACAGTAGCTGCTCTGAAGAATAAGGAATAAATTACATGCTCTAATTTCCTCAATGGTATCTATAGGAAATTGCAGAGATAAGATTTGAGATTGAATGATTAAAAGTTGTTTAATAAGCTGTCTGGTTAAAACGTGTGCAGTGGATGAGCGGTGGTCATCTGAAAGTGATCTTTTTAAGAAACAGAGGCAGTGTAGGGTCATCTGATAGAACAAAAGGCTGCCCAAATTCAAAGAGCCTCGTGATCATAGAAAATCATAGTTTGTCTAAGAGGGCTCTGACTCTGTCAAAGAATGGCTACCAACACAACTTTTTAACTCTTGCCCCACGTACTGTATTACCATACAAGTCCTGAAGATTCTTGTCTCCCTTGTCCAAATCAGAGTGTGGTGAATTCTTGGCTCTGGACCTCGGAGGCTCCAGCTTTCGGGTGCTCCTTGTGCGACTGCGCAAAGAAAAAACGCACAAAGTGGAAATGCACCAGAAGATCTACAGCATCCCCCAGGATACCATGCAGGGCACAGGGGAGGAGGTAGGACACTGCTGAGGGTGGAATCACTTTGGAAAGCTTTAACGGCATAAACAACCTTTTTGTTGTATTGTCTGTGTTCCAGCTGTTCGACCATATCGCCTGCTGTATTTCTGACTTCCTGGAGTACATGGGCATGAGAGGGGCATCGCTGCCTCTAGGTTTCACCTTCTCTTTCCCCTGTCATCAGAAAAAATTGGATGAGGTAATGTTTTTATTTTATGTTTTATCCTATTCATAATTAAGATTAAATTGATGGTATTTATATCACCTATAGGTGTGCATGGTGTTAAGTCATCAGACAGAGTTGTTATTGTAATTGTGCTTAAGTCTGTCGGGCCCGGTCTGGACCGCCTGTGTTTTCCACACAAAGGCAGACTCAATTACACATTTTTAGTCCTTAAAGAGATGTATTAGCTGGAAAAATAAATACCAACAGCAGCATTTAACAGCTGGAAGTTTGTACAATCAGAGAACTACAGGGAATGCCATTTAGCTAATGGCGGCGATTAGAAGCACCGGTTTGAATTCTGAACGACTGCCCTTCAATAATATGCATAAAGTTAGGCTTTATTCAGACAGGCTGCAAAAAAAGAAACACGATTTGGGAATAGTGCAAGTGGCTCCCTGCATGGAATCAAATAAATCATCACGTCTCCCATGTGCAGACACCCTGAATACGAGGTTCACTGCTTTTTAAAACTTCCACAAATAGTTCAGCAATGTGAAAGGGGCCCCTCAATGCGTCCTCGAGCACCCTAAAAATCACAAAACATGGACGAAATCAGAACCCCCGAAAACAAAAATGACGTCTCCTCTTTTGGAGGAGGAAATGGAAACCTCTTAAGCATCTGAATAGAGAAACATAACATAACCACCAACATGACACTAGAGGTTTCACCATTTGGCACCAGGAATATTACATTTTCATGTCATTGGAAAAACTTTTTTTATCTATTCACTGCTTTGGTCTTCATTTGACCTTTGACGCATTAAACAAGTGGTGCGAAAAAGCTGCAAATGCTATAGAAAAGTAAAGGCTCATTATCATTAAGTAGATGGAGTAGAAACACATTTATTGATTCTACTAGCACAAATCGACTGCAGAGTAAACTAACTCTGCATTTGTTTGGCTCAACAAACTGGAGGATCTGAGAAATCATAAATGTTAATCAGAGCAGGGACTGATATGGCCCTTTTTGACTCCTTCAGCTGATTAAAAAAAACACTTTATATTTTATCTGCACGGGTTTCTGAAAATTTATTGAGAGATCACAGCAAAGAAGTTCAGTCCAGTTAAGGCCAAACAGAATCCAAACAGAATCCAAAGCATTTCAAAACCATTATAATCTACCAGAACCAGGAGGAAACTTCCATCCGCACGAGAACCACTAAGAAACCTCCCTCAAAACGGGGAAGAACCCTCCACCAGAACCAGAATCATCTTTCTTGACCGACTTGGGTCTGAGATAAAGGAAAGACGAGGCAACCAGCATAATGACAGCAGGCCAGAGATACCTGCTGAGAGCAGAGGGAGGAGAGGTGCATCATGGGAGACAGCAGTCTGGCCTTATAGCAGCAGAGGGAGGAGAGGTGCATCATGGGAGACAGCAGTCTGGCCTTATAGCAGCAGAGGGAGGAGAGGTGCATCATGACAGCCCCCCTGGCCCCTGAGTGTTTTGGAACAGTTCTCGCCCGGTGCAAAGGAAGGATGATGAGCTCCCTTGAACATCTCTGTTGCTTTTGTGCAGGGAATTCTTCTGAGGTGGACCAAAGGCTTCAAAGCCACCGACTGCGTTGGGAAGGACGTCGTGACACTTCTCAAAGAGGCCGTCCGGCGTAAACAGGTCAGAGCACACCTTTATACACACACACAGGTATGATACAGTGTCTAGTTTTATCTAATGCTGCACACAAATCCAGCACCGTCTGGATTCATCAAAGGATGTTTTATTTCAGTGCCGTAACAACTTCAATAATTCAGCCATTTCATTCGGTAATGAGATTGTAATGAGGAGATTTTAAGGATGCCATATAGGTGTCCGATTACTGCCACAGTCAGCCCAACTCCAGAAAGAATAGAGATGTATGACTTTCCCAATGTGCTTTGGATTAAAAATACCTGAATGTGTCTCCTTTGCTAAGCCTCAGGAGACACAGAGTCATCCCGCCAGCTCTATGTGAACAGCTGGATAAAGGAAGCTGAAATGGAATGTTTTCCTGCCTGTTTTTTCACACTCCGCGCCATCATGTCACGCTTAACTGTTTTTGTGTTTTTTAAACGGGATCATCTTGTTTTTGTCATTCTTCAACAGCTGCTTAATGATACAAGGGTGTAGGAGTTCCTTATGTTGAGGCTCCATTTTTTGGGGTAAACTAAAAAATTTTTGTTAAGCTTCTTAGAGATAATTTGTGGTATTTGCAGGGGGAAAGAATCTCCCTGCAGATCCACCCCCGCAGCGAAGTCTCAATCTCATCCGAACAACAGATGGGTTTCTTCTGTCTGCCTGACCTTTTTCATGTATTTATTTTACCAGCATCTCTGTCTCATATTTTGTGTAATCTGAGTTGTGAGCTGCTCTTGGCTGAGTCAGTCCAGTTGTTGGTGCTCAGGATACAGAGATCCTGCTGGTCCCCTTCTTATACATGCTTAAGGGTATTCTCTGAGGGCGTACACAACCCAGGCACCAATCAGCGACAGAACCATTAGAAACCCAAACAGCCTTGCAGACGAAATAGGAGAGCATGTCTGTGTTTACAGTGTATCCACATGTCGTGGTGCTTAAAACTGAAAGCAGCCTTTTTCTGTGTTTAGTTTACTTCTAACTAAACATGAGGACAGAAGGCTGTTATCTGGTTAGCCGAGTTGTTCTTGTTGCTTGTCACTGCTGAACTTTTTCCTCCTTGGATCATTAGATTAACTATTTCCATCCATATGAGTGTTTTTACAATTTGAGGAGTAGCTTCATTATTTCTGTCACACTGGGGCAAAGAGAAGACACACTGTGTTCTGTAAAGCCTCATGAACCCCAATTTTTAACCATCTAAATTCGATTTGCCATGACTAAACCTCTCATGGCTTTGATATCGTTTGAGGCCTGACTCCACAGCATCCAGTGATTTAGGACTTATGTACATGCTGATTAGTTCCTAAAATTGTGACCCTGTTTAATTTGATTTCTTCTTTCTGTTTTCAGGAGTTTGATTTGAGCTTTGTGGCTGTAGTTAATGACACCGTGGGAACCATGATGACCTGTGGCCACGCTGACCCCAGATGTGAGGTGGGGCTCATTGTCGGTAAGCCAGTCTATGCTCCACCTCCGCTCTTTTTTTATATTTCTGAATATTTTAGATATGCTTACTGCGAGGCCAGAAACTAACAGCATTTTTTTTCCTCCAGGCACAGGGACCAACGCCTGCTACATGGAGGAAATGCACAACGTGGAAATGATGGAGGGCAACGAGGGCCGTATGTGCGTCAACGTGGAATGGGGAGCATTCGGCGACAACGGCGAACTGGACGAATTCTGCACAGAGTTTGACCGCACCGTCGACGAGAGCTCAAACAACCCGGGAAAGCAGAGGTACCTGAAACCACAGCACTGAGGTTCAGAGAAGGAGAAGATTAGAGAGAACAGATCTGTGAAAGGTCATGAGGTTTTTCCAGAAAAGTCCCCGTTTTTCATCACTTGTTTCCAAAAGATGCAGCATAAATCGAAAGCCCCCAAAGAGATGGTTTACTCCATTTTCAAATCATGACCATAATTTGTGCATTAAATGAACAAAACATGTTAATTTTCTTTAAATTGCTGTCACTTCCTGCACGTACCCAGAACACCACAGATGTGAACCAGATAGACTTTTAAGGAGTTTTAAGGAGCAGGAATGTGACAGAACAGGATAATCTTCCATTTGACTTTGACTCAAATGTTTCCGCATGTTAGCATAAAAGGACACGCTTTGGGAGCATGTGCAGCCCTGTTTCTACAGAAAGGAGGAGGATGTGGCGTCTAATAGTGATTCTCAACAGATTAATATCAGTTTTATCTGTTTAAAATCTGTGGGGCTGAGATAGAAAAACATTCCTCCCAGCAATCATCCATCTAGAGTGGCTTGAAGACAAGATGCCTTATGGGCATTTCCAACAAATATGTCCAATCTGCCACTGGGAAAAGGGGTTTAAGGCCAAATCAGAGGAAATGTCATGTTCGTTCTTAGGAGCCGAAAGATAAGAAAAGTTCTTCAGACAGCCTGCGCAAACAGCTCATATCTGTGCAGGCTGGCTGCTGTATGCGGTGGGGAAGATTAGACGGAGCTTCTTTGGGACTTAGGGCATTATTCAGTTTATTTTTCCCGACCTAACGGTTAAAACTTTTAGGCCATGCACTAATCCGCAAGATGAATAAGTTGTCTTCTGTTAGATACAGGACAAACACGACCAAATCAAAAACCAAAAGAGCCCTACGAATGTAACCAGTGGAGTCACATTTGGATTTTAGCTTCAAAAGATTAAACTCGTCCTTCATAGATTCTAACGCTGATTTAGTTATTCACTGAAGCAAATGGTTTCACATCCCAGCACTGATGAATATCTAACCCGAACAGGAAAGTCTGGGTTTAACACCTTCCTCTTTTCATTGGAAAAGATGGGAGGAAGCTGAATGCGGAATAAAGGTGGTGGATTTCCTCTTGAAAAGGAAGCCAACACATCATCCATCAAAGGAAATCCATCTTAAATCATTTTTGAAAGACCCCCGGTGTCCTTTTTCTATTTAATCTGGCTCCTTTGTGACGACAGATGTTTTTACTGAATGATGATAAACTTTTCTTTCTTATAATTGTGGCGCAAAAAAAACATTCTGGTTTGTGTTTTTACAAATAAATACAAGAAAAACATTTCAGGGGGGAAAATTTTAAGTTTGTTAATGTCGTTGATGAAAAGGATGTCACAGATCAGGGGCACTCTCACTTTGTTTTAAAAGGCTCAAAATAATTTGGCTACTATAAGGATTCTGTTTATGTATACATACTTGTTGTAGGAAGCCTAGCCAGGGTGAAGGATTTTTTTGGAAGCAAACTCAAACACGTTCTAATATCAAAACTATTATTTATTTTACAAACAAGTGCCATATAAATTTAACGTGGGTAATGTATTTTATGCACAGGGTCTCCACAAATGAAATCTCACACAATCAATGAAGTGGCAAAAAGGATGGATGATAAGCTGGCAGCTACTTTTTTTTACCATGCATTTCCCCACATGACGTGTGTTTTCCAACCAGTCGATCGACACGTTGGGCACTTCGTGGTGGATGATAAAAGAAACGTTGAAAAGGACATGTTTAATAGTGTTCTTTTGTTTTTGCAAGGATTGGGTTTTTTTTCTTGGGTTTTGTTTGAATCTCTTTTTTTTTTTGTTTCCTTTGCCTCTGTTTAAATAAGTTTCGTGTTTATTTGTAGTTTATGTTCTCCCACCCTCACTTTCCTCGCCCTCCTACCTGTCCAATGTCAAAGCGGGAGTTATTCATGCTCGCCCCGACGAGACACAACTATACAGGAGATGCTTTCAAATAAATAAAAGCAAACTGCCATGGCACTCCTCTCCCTGATGGTCACCATGGCGATGGGAACCACAGGTTATGAGTTGTGACTGCTGCAAACGTTTGAATCCCCTCCACCTCACTCACCAACACATGGAATTACATTTCTTTGCTTTTTTTCCTCCGTGGTTGCCATTGGTAACCATTGACATTCATGAGGTGCTTTGCATTGACCGTTGATGGTGGGATGTGGGTGTGTCGAGGGCCAGCCTTGAGTGGAGTCTTTGACAAACAGTTGAGTTGCAGCTGTGCACCTTTTATGATGCATCCTACGCAATGTTTAGAAACGAGACTCCAGATTGTTACCTCAGTTATTAGTCACCCTGTTTGAAAACTCCCCTGGTTCTTCCACTGTGGTCTAACCCTCGTCCCTTTCTTCTGGACCAAAAGTTTTTGTTTTTATTTAGATTTTTTGGTTCCCACGTTTAGTTAAAGTTCATGTTTAGTTTGCTGTTATCCGGTTTGCGGCGCCTGTTCTTCATCTATATTCAGCGGCTCCTGCACTCCTTTTTCCACTCCCCACTCAGATTCCTAAAGTTTTCTGCCTTTGCTTTTGCGGCTTTTTCCCCTGAAGGTACGAGAAGATGATCAGCGGGATGTACCTGGGAGAGATCGTGAGGAATGTGCTGGTGGATTTCACTGAGAAGGGCCTGCTGTTCCGGGGCAAAATGTCCGAGCGTCTGAAGAGCTGGGGCATCTTCGAGACGAAGTTTCTGTCACAGATTGAGAGGTGAGCAATCCAAACTCTCCTGACACCGAGCAGTCAGCCGGGAACTCTCATGTCACTCTTTGTTTGCTGCAGACTTTTTTCGTTACGGAGAAAAATGCGAATAAAAAGCACAATATTGACCCCAGTGTGACTGGGGGTTGAAAGCAGAGGCCCCTCCAGGAGCCAGCGGGCTGTTTTTGGGCCCACAGGAGCAGAGTGGGTCAACTGTCTGTTCAAACACACCCAGAAAAAGGCACTGAAGAAACTCTGCTGCTCTCACACACTTCAGGCACACTTGGCAGATTTTTGGCATCTCGTGCCTTCAGAGTGGCAACTCTCCTGAGCCCTGTTGATACGGGCAGCGTCGGCTGATTAGAGCTAATTAGTCGGATCTGCTCTGGAGCCGGCAGATCTCAGTCATGTTGTCATCTTGAAACGCCGATTGTTCGCATACTTAGTTGCTACTTTCCCGCCGACGTCATCCTCCATGTCTCATCACTTCTTTGTCTCGTTAGAGCTCTAGACTCACATGTGTAAATAAACCGGTGTGCACGGAGGAATTTGCTGGTGGTCAAGTCAGCTGGCGAGAATCCTGGACGGCTGGATCTCCGTTTGCTAAATCTGCGTTCCAAGCTGCTAACTCCTGTGTTAAGTCTAGTTGAGACTGCAAAACAAACAAGCTTGGACGATTTATGCCGAAAGCCTCTTTTTTTTGGGCGATCGGCATGCAGATTGGGATTTTTTAATTATTTTTTTTACAGCGTGTTTGTCTGAGTCCGATGTGTAGGCAAAGATTAAAAGCCGTTTGTTGAAATAAACCCAATACATTTTGCTCCTAAAGTTTCTTTCCCCGCCTCCTGTGCGTGCTGGAGTAGATCCGCAGCATTAAACCTCTCTGTTGCCTGGGATTAGCTGTGATGGACAGTGTTTACCTGTGCCCCCCCCCACAGCGACCGGCTGGCCATGCGCCAGGTGCGCTCCATCCTGCAGCACCTGGGCCTCACCGTCACCACCTGCGACGACAGCGTGCTGGTGAAGGAGGTGTGCGCCGTGGTGGCGCGGCGTGCGGCGCAGCTCTGCGGCGCCGGCCTGGCCGCCGTGGTCGACAAGATCCGGCAGAACCGCAACCTGAACCAGCTCTCCGTCACCGTGGGGGTGGACGGCACGCTTTACAAGACGCACCCTCAGTAAGACCTACTTTTCAAGTCCACACTGACCTTTTTTTTTAATGCGACAGCATCACATTTAGCTCTTCTATGAAGAGCCAAATTGTTAATGCACCCAGAATACTTAAGACTTTTGACTATTTTAGATCAAAAATCATATTAATGAAACTGATAAAGAGCCCAGAGAGATGAAAGATGAACAAAGAGAGGAGGGGTTCAATTATCTTTCCTGTCTTTCCCCCTCTTCCTGAAGCTTCTCCAGCATCATGCAGGAAACCCTGCAGGATTTGGCCCCCCAGTGCGATGTGACGTTCCTGAAGTCGGAGGACGGAAGTGGAAAAGGAGCGGCGCTCATCACAGCTGTGGCCTGCAGGGTCCAAAGAGAAGGGCAGCACTGAGCCCCCCCCCCCAGCAGCCCCCCAGCAGCCCCCCAGCGAGCCCCTCTGCTCTGGACGGGCCGCTGTGACATGTTACACACTGCACACGCTGATCCGAAGGCGTGAAACATGTTGACTGTACTTATTTTGTTGTGCGAGTTCACACCAGTGTGGACACGTGCGTCTGTATTTTAAGGCTCGATGAAGTTGCACTCCCCCCGAAATGTGACTGCCGCTGCGCTCTTTTCCCCGCTCCCTGCCTCCCGTTCACACCCGGCTTACTCACTGAAAGTCGCTCATGTTTGAGGAGCAAATTTAAAGGTTAAATGTCACAGAGTCCTCGTAATAAATGACTCAGCTACAGCAGGAACTTCGTGTTACAGGTTTGAAAAAGGATTTTAGAAATTTTTAATGTTTTTTTTAATTTGAAAAAAAAATTTTTCCTTTTTTTTTTTTTTTTTACTGCAATTGTGTTGTCACAGGCAGTTTGCGGGGAAAAATGCTGAATTTTTAGTAATGAAAAGTCAAACCTGCCTTAAAACGCATGTGAACGATGTAAAAATGTCAACAGAAAACATGTTTTTGTGTCTTAGCTGATCAAAGTACTGAATCTTGGCCAGAATGGGCTAAATGTAAAGCACGTGGCATCAAAGCGGATGTATGCAGCATGCATGGTGCCTGTGCAGAGCTCTATATCACACTGTATCAAGCTTATTCTGACACTTTGAAAGAATAAAGAATATATACCAACCTGCTTCGTTGAGCTTAAAGAGACTAAAAAATCCCAGTCCTGAAAGGGAAGGAAATCAAACCGCATAACCAGGATTTAGGGGCCAGAATTAGCACGCCTGGAGCACAGACGAGGGAATAATGATGGACTCCAGCACATTTTCATGTTTGAATGGTGGATTTCCAGCTGTCGAGCTGTGAGACCTCAGTGGGAAATTTCTACTAATAACTGAGCGAGCATAGATTGGAGTCTCATTAACAATTCAATTAAATTTAGCTGTCCTTTTGTGTTTGAGCTTAGCGCTGCAAATCCTGTCCCTGGTTTGTGTGATCCGGGCTTTGGGATGCGCTCATGCCCTGCTGAAGACATCAGCGTGGCGTCGGTGCACTATGAAGTGAGTTAATTGGTTCAGGAGGAAAAGCTGGAACAGTCGGTTTTCCTTGTTTAAACACCGGCTCTCTTCTTTTATCATTATTAGCATTAGAACAGGCTGCACCTCTGCACTTTGTGTTAATGCACCAGTAAAGTCGGAAAGAAAGATTTAAACAAGCTAATAAGTCTCTACCTTAAATGAAATACTTGGCATTGGGAAAAAAAAGTGAAGCGGGTGAAAAAAACTTAAGGAAAATCAAATGTTGAACCAGTTTGCCTCTTAATGGCCAAATGGATCACGACGTCTCTTTAGCATTTATTCACACACTGGGTGACCTTAACCACAGTTTATGCTTTTTTTTAAAGATTTCATACACAGTAAAACATGTTGAACTTTACGAGAAACGTGAGGCTGTGATGCCATTACCATGGAAACAGTGCATTTCAAAGGTGACTTGTAGTATTTCTGTTTCTCACATTAACACTTGTAGCAGAATCTTTGTTCTAATGGGACTTAAAATGGTACCCGACAAAGCACCAGCGCTCTGATTGGTGGGTGGGTGCACCTACCCTTCAGATGTAATTTAGGATGTTTCCTGCAGGACTTAGATGGGCTAGAGTTAGATTCCCAGCTATATGACCATGATGCACCCGGGTTTTTGTTAGTCTTAAAGCAAAAGCAAGCACAAAGCATCTACGATGCATCTGTTTTTTTAATGGAGGATTTTGGAGAAGAAAGGAGAAAATGTGCCTTTCAATTTAATAGGATGAGCAGTCCTTTATGGATTACATTTATTTAATCCCCACCCAACAGAGGCGCTTATTCAAAGCCACGAGGTTCAACTAAATTTATCAATAAGGTTAAGACCTGAGAAAGAAAACTGTTTAAAAAGCCATTAAATCTTTTGTCCTTTGTCAATATTGGGAAGATCTGCTGACAGCGCCTCTAATTCATAAAAATGACCACTCACAAACACATCTTCCCCTGCGGAACGGGCATCTCTTCCCAGTTAATTTCAAACATTTTGCCCAGAATTGGAATGTTCCAAATAACTAAAGAAATCGGGACTTAGTGGAGGTTAAAAAAAAAAGAAGTGTTTCTTTAGCTGATGGGTGACCAGATAAACTAATTCCAGTCCAAGAATCCTCTGGAAAACCGGTCGTTTTTAGTTTAAACCTAGAGATAATGAATTATTTTCCACTTCCAAGATCCCTGGCAGCGTTCAGATTTGAACCGGAGCTCAAGAGGAAGAACTGAGATGAGGAATGGAGCAATTGAAATAGTTTAACTCGGGTTTGTCCAGCGTGTCAGCATGGCTGAACTTGAAAGAGACATGCATGAGGAGTATTCACAGACAACCACTGGTCCTCAGCAAGGGTGTTAGATTGGGCTCAGAACTCGTCTTCTGCTCTTCCCTGTTTGATGGAGAGTTTCGAAGTGGCTTGAGATCCTCTAGATGCGCGTGAGGAAAACTTTTAAAGGATAGATCCCTCCCTCCATTTCAGCTAGAATTGGAGTTCTGCAGAGTGGCTGATAAGGTCTGGCGGTTTTTTCTTTTTTTCCCCTGCTGACTGAAGCATTGTGAGGGACTTTGTCCGAAGAAACAGCTTCGACGGGAGGCAGAATTATCCTGTTACTCTGTCAGCTGACTGTCTGAGTGTCACCGGCAGGACGGACTGGTTTCCCAAGCATCAAAAAGCCACTGAGCAGAAAAGGCTGGAGCAAAAAAAGCCTTATGTTACAAAGCCTCAGCTCACAGGCTGAAATAGGACTATTTCTGCTCAGCGGCCCGAGCTGCATTTGCATGAAACGCAGCCTAATTAGTGTTAATGTACACCTCTCATTCTCACTCCCTCACCCTCCACGGACCTCTGTAATGAGCGTTCGGGCCTTTTTGTTGAATGGAGGATGTCACCCGAGAAAAATGAGTGGCACGTAAATCCCGGAGATGCTCCCCAAGTTGATGTTCACCAGTTACCAGGACGCCAACTGTCTGTGAACGTCCGAGCAGGTCTGAGGCCTGACGGTTTCCCTCCCAACAGACCAGGTTCATTAGTCAATATGTCAATTGCTAGTTCTGGCAAAGCTGAAAGGCCATTTGTGTGTTGGGATATGAGACATTGAGCCTCATTACTCAGTGCCATGGCTGTGAACATAAAGGATGCAACAGGTTGTTGATATGGAAGGGCTTCAGGTTTTTGTGTTGGGAGCGTTTTCAAGGGTCTCCCAACAGATCATTTAATACTTCAGGTTAATACATCCATCCACCCATTATCCATCCAATCCATTATGGTAACCGCATACCCCCATTAGGGGGACTGGAGCCTTTCCCAGTGGTCAATGGGCAAGCGGCAGGGTACACCCTGGACGGTCAAGATTAAAACATCCAACCTTTAACACCTTAACGTTTTCATCTACTGGAGATAGTTTTTTAGGCCTAATTCTTCTTTTGTCCTCCACTTCTCAAGTTTCCCCCAATGTTTAAAGAACATGCTGAGATTTCAGCTAGCGGCTCTTTGGGAATCATCAAAAATTCTGTTTTTATGTCCATCAAACTGTGTTATCTTTGGAATTTCCCATGGATTCAGGTAAAAATGTGGGCTGAATAATGTGATTTAAATAAATGATGTCTCCTGTCAATGCATTTTCTCAACATTTTGTGCAAAAAGAGAAAACATTTCGAGGTGATATTCCTGCTTTGCCAAACCTACAGACCTGCCATCTGCTTAAGCTTCCTCAGCAGCAGTTTTAATTCAAATCATGTCCAAGAAACTGTGTTTTTGATCTTTGAGGGAGGAAAAAATGTTAAAGAACTCATGAGGTCTCTTAAGGAACCTGCTAACAGAAGGCTGAGCGATGCCCTTTGAAGTTCTCTCTCTTTAGACGGAAACGACAGGATTTCAAACGTGCTGAAATGAATTTACATGCAGCCAGAGAGGCTTTTGAATAAATTATTTATTTGGTTACCGCACATGAAAAAGAAAGGAAGCGTACACACAAATAAAGAAAGAAAACAAAACGCAGATAGTGATGCTGAATACATTACCCATGAACACAAGAACAGTTTCTCTATGCACTGGCAGGGGTACACAAGCGTGGACGAGGCGAGCGGCCACATGACCCACCCCAGTGGAAAATGCCAAGAAGCATATTTTTCACAGACATTTTCCTCTTTAAACCTTCAATCACACTGGAAGGTTTCTGCCAGAGCGCTCGTCTGGACGTTCGGCTGGTCAGAAACGCGTCTGCTGGCCGGGTCGTCGCATTTAACTGTGAGACCCAGACTCTGTATTTACTGCCAGGGTTGTGCACTGGTCACGTGTTCAGATTGAACATTAAAGGGGAACAAAAGAGGCAATCTTTAGCTTCTGTTTTGAAGCTGCTGGTGCACAAAAGAGGCAGCTGTATAATGTATGAGAGGAATCCTCGCTTAACACATTACAGTGGTCAAAGTGGGAAATCACCCAAATTATTGACTTAAAAAGATTAAATTCAATCTGAGCAGGGGAAAAAAGATGGAGAAATGGAGAAGGTCACTTTGCTCATCAGTGTGGCTCAGTATCAGACTCCTTACAAATGGCTCTGAAAGCAAACAAAACACTGCCGCTTTTTTTGTGAAGAACACTGAACAAACAAGTTCCTCTACCGAATGCTTTTCTCTCAAACATGTTTTTATCATTAAAAAAAAAATCAAGCAATAACACAGATACAGTACACCCAAACTTCAAAATGAAGCGTTAAATTGAGCTCTTGGACACGAAAAGCTGCACCACAGACGAAAACACGGCCACGCTGACTCAGAAGTTTTGCATTGCAAGCCACGAACGCAGACTTTTCCAGATACGTTTCACCTTTCCTGAGTTGTCATCAGGTAGCACTGACTCACTAAAAGAAATGACACAAAACCCTTTTTTTTTTCTGACATCAGTAGTATAGTGCAGTTACAAAAGAATCCAACAACAATAACAAAACAACAGCTCAATGCGGCTTTGAACATCCTCGGTCGGTGCACGGCAGAAATTCAGAGTGCTAATTTTAAAGAAAAACAACCTCTGGACAAATTAACAATGAAACAGGCCTCCCGGTGTCCTGCTAAAGCACGGCGACGACTCTGTACATGCTCACAAATACGCACAGCTGACAGCACACCAGTGATAACAATTTAAACACGACGATCCAACGCTGTCGCCGGCCCTTCGACGGAGAGCTGGGAGCTCTAAAGGCCGGCGCCGGCCACAAGGCATCCAGCAGCATGAAGCCAAAGGTCAAATGTACATAAGGAACTGTGTTCAACGTGGGCAAAAAACCCGATCCCTCAGACACGTCTGTGTAAAGCACGCTCCGGGTTTAAGGTTTGTCTTTCCAACAGGTTCCCGAGTGGTGAAAGTCATTCATTTGTCTGTGCTGGATTACGTCCATAAGACATTCTCTCTGGTGATTCTCTTCATTCTGGTGGGTTGAACACGTTTCAGGTGTTTGTAAAAAGAAAGGATGCATAAAGAAATCCACAAACTGTTCCGTATACATTCATTACATTAAGTAACAGTAAGGTGTGAATCAGTCAACCAAAGATAAAGTGATTTTTTAACCCATATGAACCCACAGAGACACAGGTGTAACAACCTGTTTAAACTAAAGTACATTTATTCAAAAATGGCCAGTGGAACATTTTGTGGTGGTAGCTGAAAATGTAGATTTCTTTTTATGTGATATATGGGGTAATTTGGTCGGTTTTCTGTTTCCTATAAATATCTCTTTAGGTAAAAATGGGTCTGGCCACGGATTGGTTAAAACGGCAGTTTGGAGTTTGTTTGTCTTTTTTGTTTCCCTGGGGTATTTTCAAGTCTCAAAACAGAAAATAAAACCAAAGTTGATTATTATGAAGCGTAATATCATTAATTTGTTTTTACAAACACTCGATTATGAACCAGGGAGTGGAAAAAAGTAAGTCCACCCCTCCCGTTTCCACAGGAGAACAACCAGGAGCTGCTCATCATCGCTCCAGCAGCAAGGGCAAAACCCCGACAGCTACATTTCACACTCTGCAGGCTTCAGTCAGCAGGTCAAAGGTCATGTCAGAACAGTGAGAAAATAAAATGAGCAGCAATGGATTGTTTGTTTGGGCATCTGAAAAGAGAGCGGAGCAAAGTGGTGATTTTTGCTCAGACTGCACCGAAAGCAAACAGCTGTCAGCAGGTGGGGGTGCTCGTCTTTTCAGTCACATTTAGTTTTTCCACTCACTGCCTCTGCATTTTTAGCATCTCTCACTCAGTTTTGTAAACAAGCTAAATCCAAAATATAACATCATACATCACCCGAGGTAACATCTACCAAATCTGATTAGCTGAGCTCTGACATTAAAGAAAACAAACAAACTAATTTCCTGTTTTCCCCACTGAAAGAGGGGAAAACCTGGGGGACGGGTCATATCTGATGCTGAAATGTTAAGTTAATCCTAAATACAACCCAGCTCAGTCTGTAAAGTTTGCCACGGGGCGTGTTAGCAATTTTATAAATCTCCGTGGAATATTCCCTTGTGGACATTATCAGAAAAAAACAGGAGCATAGAAGACAAACAAATGGATGAGAGTAAATCTGAAACGCACCAATTTGCTCTGCAGAGTGGCGAGAAAAAAAAAGGACTCACAGTCCCAAATAATAAAATGTAAATCTTCTCATGGCAGTAATTGTCGTTGAGCTGAGAGACATTTTCTGATAAAGGGGATGGTGGCCTGTGTTGTCCACTCATTTCACTCCATTTTTTTTTAAACACAACAAGGCACCACTGTAGTCCTGCAGTGTTACTGCCCAAGCGGGAGGTTTCAGGGCTGAAAAGTTGCGAACGGGAGACCGAATCTCTGTATGTGAGTCGCATGCCGGGTACTTTGGAATGTGGGTCAGAACGTCCATCGAACACCACTCATCTGTGTTTCAGGGGCCAGTGTAGCGTGAAGCAGGGAACTGGGACTCTGGCCCTCCAGGGCTGCTTCCCTGCAGGTTTCAGGTGTTTCCCTGCTTCAAAACAACCTCATTTAGATTGAATTGATCTCTCAGGAGTCTGCTGGTGGTGCTTTGACTCGAATCAGTCGTGTTGAAACAGGGAAGCATCTAAAACCTGCAGGACAGTGGCCCAAAGAGGACCGGGGCTGGAGGAATCTGGTTTAAGGTTAAGACCAGTTTCGTTCACGTGTACAATTTACTCTGCTACATCTAGTGCTATTTTTTAATGGTACTTTCAAATGCTAACTGTGATCCGTTTTTGCTTTACCGTGAATGAAAAAATGCCTGTTTCCTGTCATCTTACCTGTCCTTGCTAATCATTATTGCAATGAACACTGGAGTGAGGGTGCTGGAAGCCTTAAAAAAACACCTGTAAAAGGCTATATGGATATATAAAGATACTATTTGCATCCACTTCTTTGCATGAAAGCATCAGTTGTACGTGTGAAAAAAATACAGAAAATGTAAAGAGAAATTGCTCTAAAATAATGTGTATAATTCATAACTGTCGGTGGATAATTAGAAAAAGAGTGGGCAGCGTGCGCAAGTCCACACACAGTCTGACAGTGAGACGCTAACACAAAGATCAGAATGGATGTTAATCGTGAGCTTGTCTGACCTTAAAGAAGCAGAGATGTAGGCACATGCCTACTTTACATGCATCATAATCTACGCGTACAGCAGAAGATGTTCACATTTTCTCTGTTCGTGTGCACTCCGCAGCACATTTGCATTTGTCGGATGATTAGAGCAGAACCTCCCCATCTCCACTTAAATGTCTTTTTTGAAAACATAATAAATACAACAAAGGGCAGCTGCATTTGTTTTCCATGCGTGATTGCGCCGCTCATCTTTTTTTCTCCTCCTGCTTAGCTCTGGCTGCAGATCTGTTCTGCTTTTCCACCTCTACGTAAAGCAGATCCGTTGGCACCCCCGCATTAAACCGACGTGGTGGGGACTCATCCCGGATCTCCAGAGTTGCCCTCAGGAAACTCCACACCGGCGGTCATTTCCCACGGTGACGTGCACGAGGCTCAGACAGGCTCTGCCCTGGATCGCACAAACTTTAACCACGCACTGTCAATAAACCCATCTCATCTTCTGATCCGTCATTGGGAAAGTGTATGGAACACTAGATGTGAGGACTTCATGATTGTGGAAAAACATGGAAGCACAAAAAGGGTTAAAAAAAATAAATTTCTAACATTTGCACTAAGGAAATGAACCAAAGGACAAACATTGACTGTGAACCTTCCAGTTGGATTCTGATTCTTGTTTAAAAAACACAAAGATAATATCCAACCAAGTAGAGCAAAAAAGAAAAAGTGAGACAATTTGGTCTATGATAGCTTTCTCTAATGGGAATGTGGAAGAATTGTTTTCAGAGAAAATAATATGATAATGTTCTTTAATTGTCGAGCAGCTGCTTAGATTTCAGCCTGGGCCTTCAGGCTCCGGGTTGTTGGTCAAATCTCCCCTGAGTGTGTGCACTCAGGTGGACTCACACTGTGCACGCCCAGAGCACAAGAGGAAGAGCCGGGTTATGATGAGATTTCACTCATCCAGCAAACCCAGAATCGAACTCTTCCTCCTCAGGGGTTTGTCTCAGACCTGCAAGGACGAAGCTGCCTGCGAAAAAAAGCAGAGGTGGCAGAAAAAAAAAGACTCCTTTGGGTTTAGGAGGACAGCTTTGCCTCCTGCCTCTGTGTGTGTGTGTGTTGTGTTTTCTGACAAGAGCAGAGCCGCCTTGCAGAGGTTTCAAAGCGCCGGACGTGGAGGTAGTCGAACAAAAGGTTTGTGTTTACTTCGCGGTTTTTGTTTAATCGCTGGACCTCACGCTAGCGTGTAGGTCGAGGTGGCGGAGGTAGAGCTGTGATCTGTGAAGGCACTTGTTTTTCCGGCGGCGGCGGGATGTCTGACGCGACGCATGCCTTTCGCTGCAGAGGCTTTAACAAACGGGAGAAAAACAGATCAAGGGCAAACGGCTGTGTCGCAGTTTTAGAAGTAAACTGAAGGAAATGTTCACCAAATCCACAACGCAAGGAAAGCCAAGAAAAAAAGAAAAAAAAAAAGTGGCTGAAAGGGAGGACAGAGGACTGCCTGTGCTGGTTTTGGAACAGCCTGAGGTCGACTTTAATAATACATTAAATCCAGTGTCATCATGGCCTCCGATGCAGTCAATTTAAAGCATTACCAGAACGCAGAAGAAATGGCAGGAAAAATTACTCAAATACCTCAAAACTGATTTAAATGAAAGAGAATGTTCTCTCCATGTGGTCAAACTGTGATAAGATGCAAACCATTATAGCATCCAATGAAATTAATATATTTTTAAAAATATAAACTATCCAAATCAGTTTTGCTTTTCATTTCCTATCTGGCAGACCTACTCAGTTGATATAATTAGATGTTGGTTTTATATTGAATGCACTCACGTGCCATGTATTGATCCTGTTATTTACCTTGGAAATAAGAACATGTTTCCCTCTTGTGTGACCTTTCCATCACACACAGTTGGAGCATGCTCCTCGTGCCCGAGACTAAAGCCTCTCCATGAGGTCGGCCTTTATTTAACTTTTATGTAAAAAGGCCAAGGAATCGTTAGAGGTGTGTGGGGGAGGGGTTCCTGTACTTCTGAAGTTCAGCAAAATATAGAAATAAAACGAGATGACAACATGCAGGGACCACCTCAGTGTCTGTACACGTCATAATAATCAGCCTATCAGCATAGCAGGTTTCTGATGGGGAGAGGGGGCCAGTCCGCAGGTGAGGGTGTCCTTTTTTTATTTGCGTTTTCGTGGATTAAGACATCTGGTTGGCTGTAGTAGGGGGTGTCGTTTCAAGTGAAAACCAAACACAAAAGACATCTCAAATCAGTAGGACGCTGCACGCGTTCACTGCCGATGGCGTTCCCTTGAAATGTGGTAATTTTCCTTTCATTTATTCAAGTGGATATTGCACAGCCGTGGTTCCGAACACTGCTTATAATGGATGTCACACAGGTGGTGAGTGCCTCTCTCCGGGGAGCGGGGCTTAGTCTCAGTTATCCCACGCCTGATACACCGACACAGCCAGCGAGCTCACCTTATCCGAGCCCTCCCCGTTGCTGCTCTTCTTGTTCAGCGTTGCCATTTCGAACCCTTGATCCGACACGGTCCTCCCCGAGTGCACCGCCACGCAGCCCACCCGCGTGCCCCCCGTCCCCTGCGCCGTGTCGCTCAGCTTGTTGTTGTTGTGGACGCGGTTCCTCAGCCCCAGCATGAAGTTGTTGGGATTGTTCGAGCTGTCTCTTAAGTCGGAGGCCTCGCAGGGGCCGTGCACGGAGCGGCCCCTCCTCCCCCACCGGGCCAGCCGGCTCCTCAGCTGCGGGGTGCAGCACACCGGCCTGGACTTGCACACCGCCTTGAAGCCCCTCTTGAAGTTCTTGTTGTAGTACCCGTAGACGATGGGGTTGACGCTGGAGTTGGAAAAAGCCAGCCAGTGGGCGAAGGGGAAGACGTAGCTGGTCAGGAGGTCCAGCTTGTCCCTGTCCAGGCCCCCGTAGTCTGCCATCATCATGAGGGTCCAGAGCGGCAGCCAGGACAGCATGAAGAGCAGAGCCACCACCACCAGCATCTTTATCACCTTTATCTTCTTGTTGGACACCGTCGACGGGCCGTGTCTCCGGCCGCCCGCCTGGACGGTGGCGTTGGCGGGCTGCAGCTCTCTGTTCGCCACCACAGAGGAGCACAGCTTGATTCCGATGCCGACGTACATCAGCGTGATCACTGTGAGGGGCACCAAGTAGATGTGGGCGAACAGGACCGCCGTGTAGACCTTTCTCATCTGGGGGTTTGCGAAGTTTTCGTAGCAGGTGTACAAGGGCGTGGTGCGATTGAAGTCCTCATTGTACACCATGTAATGAAAGGGGACTTTGTCCACGGTCAGCGCCACGGCGGCCGGACACATGATGGCGATGGCCAACACCCAAATTGACACTATGGCCACCTTGGCGACAAAGAGGGTGAGCTTCGGCTGTAGAGGGTACACGATACAACGAAACCTGTGGCAGGCAGGAAAGAAAAACACAGTTAGCGATTTGCAGGTATTAAATGAAAGAAAACAGTAGATAGCAGGTTAGCATATTCCTGTCTGCTCCATACATCCCCATTCGGTGAACTTTTGTGGGTTAAAACACTCAACAACTATGCATTTTTCATGAAATCTGCTTTATCCGCAGATGAATAACAACACACAGCTGAGTCAAAGTACAGAAAGGTCATGAGAAAAATGAGCTCCTGTAGCTGCAGAAGCAGCCCACATCATTATCCCTCCCCCGCCGTGCTGACAGCTGCTCTGAGCTGTCTGTGCATTTTGAGCTCCACTTTGTCTTTGTTCAGATGCACCTCTGCAGACCTGCCATGTTTTTTTTTTAATCTCACACGGCCCAAACAAATGAGCCACACCTGTTCAGTCTTTTTTTAATTGTAATGTCATGACCTTTGACCTTTAACTGAGGCATCCAGGGTGTGAGCTGGAACTCTCAGGGACGTTGCTGGGTCTGAAAACTGTTCAGAATTTTTTTTCACTGTTTGTGAGCGATCTTCCTCTCTGTACCAGAGACTTTTTTTACAGAGAAGGTTTGGAGATGTCCTCATAACACTTCCCAGATTTATGGACAGTAACAGTTTCTTTACTAATATCATTGCTGGTTTCTCAAGTGATGGTTTCCGGCTTATTGTGCCTTTGGCCAGTGATTACAAATCTAAAATTCCCCCGAGCGCTTCTTTGTGCTAATTAGCATCAGCATGATGTTTTGTTAGAAAATCATATAAACACAGTTAATTACTAACAAGTCAGCATTGTTCTTGAGAGCATGTCTATTTGTTGATTTCAGTATTTAGCCTAAGCTGGTGTCTGATGCTGGCCACTACAACCACCAGCAGGGCTCTGAATATTCAGTTCAGCGTGCAATCACATGAAACCGACATCACTGGCTCACCTTTCAATGGCGATGGCCACCAGCGTAAAGACGGACGCTGACACAGAAACACCCTGCACAAACCCGCTCATCTTGCACACGGTGTTGGAGAAGGGCCAGCCTGTGGAGGAAACACAAAAGAAAAAAAAGACAACCACATCATGAGGCAATTCAACAAAATGCTCACACTTTGTTTCAGGAGCTTTGTGAGGGACTTACAGTTGAGTCTCTTGGGGTAATCATGAGGCGGGGGGACTTTTTTGTAACCTAAATATAAACTGATACAGGATGTAACCAGGTGATTTTGTTTGATCATATCTCACCCCTGACAGAAATGAAGTCCTGACATCTTAGTTTCTGTTTTTTGAAGCAATGATTGAGACACAAGCTGTGATGTGACAGGAGGCAGGAGCTGTCCCCGATCATCCGTCTTCCTCATATTTCACACAATAATTGTTTCCTTTCTTTTCCCTCAGAAGAGAGGGGGGGGTGGGCTTTAACACATCTCACAGAGTGATTACAATCCCCCCCGCCCTGATTCTGTTTCCTCCGAGAGAACCCGCAAATTGACCGAAGCTCAATGGGACCCCGGCAAAGTGGCAGCCCATTTTGAGCAATCAAAATCACATCGAAGATGATACAGGGGCTTCTGCAGAAGAAGGCTGAGGAGCTTCATGCATCAAAATCAGATCAGGTTGATTTGAAGCAAAGTGATGCTGCCACGTGTACTTATATTTTTAATCCCTTTAGAACAGCGACTGCACGGTGGTGTAAAGTTAGACTCTGAAAGTTGGGGATTTAAAAACGAACACGAAAAAAATCTCTACAAGAAAAAACCTGCAAAAGTTGTGAAATAACACAACCAGTTGCGAATCTTAACTTGCAGCGTCATAATTCATGCAGATATAATCATGTAAAGTAATCAAAGCAACATTTTTGGCTTATTCACACATATTTACACTCCTGTCTGTTAGCATTTTCCAGTGTGGTCGACGGGGTTCTCCTCTCCTCTGCAGGGAGCTTTCTTCTTTTCACACTGAATGTTGAGGCTTTGAAAGCATCAGTCAGCAGACGGCGAGAGGCGTCCCAGTGGGTTTTCCGAGCACAAGAACCGCACTGTGCAAACAAAATGTGCCCTCTGTGTCATCATATTGTTCATTGAAAATGAAAACACTCATTCAAACCGATAGAGGGAGATTCAGCTTGTCGGGTTCAGTGATTAATTCACAGATTAGTTTCTCAGTTCACTGACTCAGAAAATTCATGCATTTTGAAAGGAAGGGAGGCGACGTGACAGGAGCCAGAGCTCGTGCCTGCACAGCTTTCCGTTTCATTTGATGAGCGCGTCATCTGCCCTCCGACAGAAACAAGAGGCGGCTTCAACACTTGAACACTGGAAGAGTGGGCTCACCCCGCTTCATGTTTTCTCCAATTATTCAGCAAATACTCAATCTAAGTGGTTGGTTTCCTCCTCTTTAGAGGAGTCCAGACTGATTTTTCTGCTTGAAAGATTTGATGTCCTGTATGTGAGTAACAACCTTTTCAGCTATGAAGAGGAAATTTAGATGTCTCCATTTGGTGGTTGCTAACTAATAGACTAATCTAAATTAAATCAAATTAATTTTATTTAATTTAAACTGAAATAATCTCATCTTCCTCTTCAATCCCAAAAGCATTAAATCTCCTTTGCTTTATCGGTTTTGATAGCTGAGCTATTTTCTATGGAGTTATTTGATGAAGTGATGAGAAAATACAGTCGCCAAAAGTGTGCAGAAATGTCTGCATTTCTCTTTGCAACCCTTAAAATTAGAGACGCAAAGACCATGATCCAAACAAAGTTCAGGTGGTGGTGCGTCATGCTCCTGTCCGCTGGGAGGCCGATGCTTTTAAATCATCTTTGCAACCCCTGGAGCAACAGACGGACTTCATAAATTAGCAGAGACATCCTGTCAGGTTCCAGTTTGCCTGCACAGGAGCATCAATGCGGATCATTCATCATATTTCCAGACTGAGATCCAGACAGTCTGCTGGTCCTGTCGCTGAGATGATACCTCATCATCCTGATGGAATGATAACGTGTCCAAAATGTGTCCGTCAGAGTATCTACTGCAGATGCAAAGGCGGCTACCTCCCCTGGTCCTTTGGTGCTTGTATTCTTAGAGCTGTCATGCTATTCTGTTTCATCGGATGTGCGCTGAACTAAAGTGCCAGCATCCTGTCTCGGTCCGGTAATTGGAAATACAGGTCATTCATCTCTGAGTATGATTTTCATCCAGCCATTCACAGTCCATCACTGCTTCTCTTTAGCTGTTGGCAGCAGCTCTTCTGAATGGAAATCCCATTCCCCTCACTGGGGAAGTTATATTTTTAATTGTTTTGCTTTAGGATTCGGTTTTAACACTTTGATGTCTTCCACGGTCGATATGCAGCTTTCTCATTTTGTTTGTACTTTTGTTCCGAAAAGCTGACAGAAAACAACTGACAGAAGTCTTCAGCATAACTGAATTTGAATGAATTCTCCTCTCCGATGTGTCCTTTGAAACTTTATATTATTTTGACAGAGCTCCAGTGTTGGGGTCATATTTCCTACTCTTTTTAAATTCCAGCCATGTTGTCATTCAATAAGTTCAACAAGATCGTCTGAATATGATGAAAATTAATTATTGTAAAAATTGACATGTCCATTTATGAAACTTTTCCATTCAATTTGCAGCTATTTTATTTATTCTATATTGTCATGTCCATTTATGTATTTAATTTGATTTATTCATCCGTGAGGGAACACCTGCGAAAAAAAAGGAGATTTCTGAGGAAAATCCTTTGCAACGCTATAAAGTCAGATATCTGTAGTGTTACAGTGAATGCAGCTTTAAGGGATCGTTTGAAAAAGTTTCACTATTTTGGTTTCAAGATAAGAGTTCTTCAGATGTTCAGTCACATACAAAACCCCCCAAAAACCTGATGCGCAAAGTAAATAGTAACAAAACAGAACAATTACCTCAGCGTGTAGTGAGAATCTGCAAAGGTTTTCTACTAAATGACACCATGTCAATCTGATGAAGACTGCACGTGAAAACTTTGTTACAAAGCTTAACTAACACTTCAATCATCAGAATGATTTTACATATTAGGCAAACTAAATGCTCTGTTTTTTGCGATTACTGGGTTAAAGAATAAGCAGAATTCTGGACGACCAAAAATAGATAAAACATTGTAAGAAAGAAGAAAGGAACGTGTTAGGACTAATTGTCAGGGGAAAAGTGATATAAAAAACCTATTTGTTCTTAACTGTATTAAAAGATTTTTTGTTCCCTCATTAATTAGCTTTTCTCTTAAAAATCTAAATCTAAAAACCGGTTACTTCTAAAAACCCAGTAGACGGAACGTTCAGGCTGCTGAGGCATTCACTGACCTCTGAGGGAGGAAACATTTCTATGGCTTTGTGCTCTAAATCTTTATTCGCAGCAACAGGGTGCAAAGATCCAGCACATTCCCCTGTTAGGCTGCAACTATCGTAAACATTCACAAGGGGATGTTCTTTATTCATAGAATAGCAGACGGAGGGGGGCTGGAGCACGCTTAAAGGTCAGCGGTGACGACAGCTTTGAGGACCCTGAGCGCAGGTGGGGTTCCAGCTGAGGGCGTCACATAGAGGCTGGCCGTATGACCACCCTTACAGAAATGTGCCAGATGTTGACTTTAATCGTTTTTGGAGCAACAAATTGGATTAGACAAATTGGACCAGATTATTTTCTAATCAAATTATGCAAATTCTGTTCGCATATTTAAAAAAATATGGTTAGCCAATAGGCTGATATAATGCCATCATATTCACACTGCTTTCAATAAATGTTTAAAGGTTTTAGTTCTGTGAGAGCCACACAGCAGCAGCGACGATCTCTAATCTGACATGCATGTAAGAGCTACAGAAGCCATTAACTCTACATGTTGCTCTAATTACTCACTTTATACAGGCGTGCCTTAATGATCAGGTTGAGTGTGGTGCTCACTCTCGTTACTATGAATAACCACAGTGAAAACGGTCCAAAAATGCATCTTGGTTTGAACTCTTATGCGTTATTGATATCTGATTTGAAAAATAAATAGTTAAAACAGAGAATAGCATCTTGGTTGTGGTGTGTCCCTGTCATTGTACCAGAATGAATACAGGACTCAGGAGAAAAGAAACGCGGTCCAGTGGAGTATCTAGAAATGAGCTCTCCGCGACTAGCAGCTGACCTTCTGCCCTGTGGGACAAAACTGGATCTGCTGCTCTGCTGCGCTCGAACCGTATATTGTAGTTGGTGAGAAGAGGCAGGCCGAGCAGGAAGAAAGAGGCAGAGCGTATTCGGGACATTCTCACATGTCTTAATTCTTTTTCTGAATCGGACGAGTTAGTAAAACCAAAATCCCTAAAGGTGTTTTCATTTGCTGACTGCTGTAATTATGGGAGAAGAATGCTACGTTTAAGTGAACATCCATCAGTTTGCCAGAAGAAAAAAGATCAATTGTGTGAGAGAGAGCAGCTTTAACAGTTTCTTTGCTTGTTTTAATTTAATGTAGGTATTATATAGATTCAAAAGCAGTAAAAACATGTTCTTTGATCAGAAAACGTCCATGTTTCAGCTGCTTTGGGGACAGATGTGAATGTATGTAGCAATGATGAAGATATCTATGTATCCATATGTTGAAACAGCAACAAATATTGACTTGGACCATAATAACAAGTGACTGCTTGGAGATTTGGGGGAATTTTGAAGAACTTTAGATCTTCTCCGGTTCTCCGGGCGCCACTGTCCAGCAGGTTTAAGACGTTTGTTCTCCAAAACACCTGATTCTGATTAGATAAATTGTTAAGCTCTGCCCAGGCCTGAGTAACGGTGCAATTATGTGAATCCTGTGGGTGGAAGCAGGGAAACATCCAGCTGATCCCTGACCAGCTCCATCTGGGTTTTGTCCGGTCAGGACACCAGCTTGTGCATCTATACTCATTCTTACACGCAAAGGCCGGAGACGTTTTCGGAGGATGTGCAGACTGTTTGCTCTGGTCTTTTTTTTCCCCAGCTGGTGTTCACACAAGCACCTCACAGCAGGAGGCGTTCTGCCGGAGATGCACTCCCCCCCCCCGGCGGGATATATGAGGGGGGAGGGTGCCGGGGAACGGCTGTTGGGGGCTCGCCGCGGACAACTAAAGCCGTGAGAATCTTCTCTTCGCGACACACTGTGAACAGCAGGTGTTGCTTCTTGTGATTACACGACCCCTGAATGCATCTGGAAGCATCTGCAGCGGCGGGGGGCGAGCGGAAAGCAGCCCACAGGACAACAGAAAGGCCAAACATTCATGCATCAGGTTCATGCATCGTCCCGCTCACCGCTTTGGCCGTCTGTGCTCGGTCCTGCTGTCAAACCACCAAACAGCCCTGTTTCCTCCTCTACCAGGAGGATATGCTGAGGGCGGGGGGACGGGACATATGCCTTCCTATAGATAACCTTTTGCATTAAGCATGTCTTAATCTGTTCCCATCACAGGGGAGTAAATGATCCCTCTCCCAGTAGACTACAGTACAATCCGGAGCATATGCTGAGTCCTTATTAGGATCACATGTAAAGCAACCGTGTCGTCGAACACCTTGACTTTGTGGGAGACTTGACCAGTGTGTGATTTTAATTTTCTTTTAATTGACTCTTTGCTGGGGGAGAAAAAAAGGCCCTCCCCCTCTGCATGCTGATACTCCGGCGCTAATAAGGAGAAAAAATCTGGGTCAATCAGCTCAATTAGAAGGCTTTGACCAACACAGCCCGTTGCAGTCCAGACTTGAGGGAGAGGCCACAGAACCGGGCATTAAGGGGCAGTCAGAAGGCAGGACTCAGTGTCTAAACACTGGAGAGCAGTCCGTATTATGGGATTTGCTGTTTCGGACCCACTGAAACCACGACAAGCAGTCCGACCGTCCGTGTTCCGTCTGCAGGGAAACCTACTGCTCCTTATGTCGACCGTGGTGAGCGGGGCCTACTGGCGTAGTTGCTGCGTTGCTATAGCAACACTGTAGGGAATCAATAAGGATGAAGCTGCAGCCTTAAAGGAGATGAGAAACAGGCTGGATCTGTTCGCTGTTGAAGACGTGACGGGGGAAGGTTCTCCTGCTGCTCAAAGCTCACGAGGTCTTTGTCTCTTCATCCTAATCAAGTACAAGCGTTAACACGTTCTGCGGCACGCCGACGCGCCCGTCTTCATCCCCGACGACGCCTCCACTTGTTATTCACAGTCAGAACAGGTCCCTTTCAAAAGTTTCGCCACTGAGGGTTTGTTCTCATTTCCCTCTCAATCAGACACATTTTTCAGCAATGAATGAACAACAATCACACAACGACAGTGTCGCTCAGGGTCGTTCCACTCAATCTGCACAAAGGGGTGTTTACTGGCTCCTACTTATGTTCGGGTTTCTGTGTAGGATGATTACTGAGATTTGGTCTCTCATCGTGGATTATTTGGGGACAAGCTCCTAGAGACACCAAATAAACATCCTTGATCGATGGAAACTCCAATCCCTTTGCAAAGAGCAAAAGAAGGCACTGGGCTCCAGTCAGGCAGGAAATCTCAAACAAAATACGCATTCATTTTCCTTTATCCTCTCACTTCTTTTCCAAAATGCTGATAAATGAATGCTTTTATTGAGGAACAATGCTGCTACCTGCTGAATTTTCAACATCTTGGATGAGGACTGATGATCATTTGTTTTTATTTAGATTCAAGGAAGTTCTTTTAACCTTAACACTAGAAACTAGAAAGTCATATCTAAATCTTTTATTTAGGCAAACCTATTGAACAACCAGATATCACACGGGTCCTAGTTCCTGAGCTGAGAAAAGGTCAATTCCATGCTTTTCCAACAAGGCAAGGCACAGCCTATTTCTATTGTCCATTCTCCAACAGACTCATTCATATTGCAAAACTATATGAAAGAAAGAATAATTGTATTTTGTCTTGTCTCGCCTTTTTATGTCATTCAAAATTTCATCTTAGAGAATGACAAACAGTATGCCTTTAGTATTGGAGTAACATTTATGTCACACAAGGAAAAGCCCTAGTCTCTTCATCTCACAATGCTGTCTCATGTCATGTGTTCTTCCCTTATTGCCTTTTCTTGCATAAAAATGTTACGAAGTTCATTTGCAAGTAGCAGAATGAACTTTGGTGGACTCTCTTTGGTCCCTGTGCACGGCTTGTACAACACATGCTCGTCTGTTGCAGACAAGCCTGTACACCAAGCCAAGCCAAGCTTGAAATCTCAATAACTCTGAGTCGACCTGTTGGGCCTATTTATTCTGGGAGCTAGACTTCCCACCCACAACCTTTACCTTTCCCCCTGCCGCCAGATTGGAATTTGAGCTGGAAACCGGTTTCCAGCGCAAAACCGGCTTTCCTCTGGAAATCGCGAGCGTATGATGTTTGCTTGTTTGCCCTCTAGTAAATAGGGCAGATGGTCATTGTTTTATAAATATTCTTGTCAGCTGATGGAGATATTTTCATTGTACGGATCAGTTATCGTCTGATCACTGCGCTGGTGGCCCCGCTGTCTGAAATCATTCCGGTGTTAGTGACACTGATGACGTAGACCTAGTTATATTTTATTACAAATATGATTTCCGCCCCCCCCCCTCTCCAATGACAGTGCCAATGGGGCATTTACATCTGAAAAGGGATTCATGAGTTGTGAAGTACTGTTGGGGGGACTGGAGCCAAATACCACCCCAAACAGCTCAATTTTGAAAAACAACAGACAGAAGGTATAACTTCAGAAAGTTTTTTTAAATTTCAGATAAAGAAAAGCAGTGTACATGTGGATAAAGCACCAAATATAAAGTGGAAAAATGTTAAATGCAATTGTCCCATCTAGCAGTATCCACATTCCCATGGTGAGCCTTTCCTACATTTGCCACAGGTAAATTTGCCGCAGTGGACACAACGTTCAGTACTTTTGTTCTTATTGCAGAGTATGCGCACCTGGCATTGAGTCTTTTTCTGCTGGGAAACTCTCATCTCACAACGTAGCTGTTTTTGCTGTTCCTCTTGTGTCTTTTCCTGCAGGAACCTGTTTTTGAGTTCTTCTGAAAGCTCAAGCATGAACAGTCGACGACTTTCTTTGGATCCTGTACACGCTGTGTACAAAACATGTGCATTTGTGGCGGCCATGTCAAGCAGGTTATAAAACACAGCCATGGGCCACCTCCGTGTTGCTGCACGCACAGAGTAGTTGCGCAGTTTCTGGTCAACACCACATTTGAGATGGTTGTAATCAACCACAGTGTTTGTTTTTTGTTTTTGAATGTCCACAATTTCCACTTTGTGATGCATGGTACTCAGAAGACAGACAGATTTCTTTTTTTTTGTCGCATACACCGTCAGCAAGGCACTTCCAGATTTGAACACCTGTGTGGAGTGCAACTGGCGCCCCGAGGTTTCCTTTGCAGTTGCTGGTAGCTCCCGACGAATTTTGTTGATGGTGCCAAGCAGAGTTGTATTTCGCTGAAGGAGCCTGTTAGCCAAAGACAGAGAGGTGATGAAATTGTCCATAGCTACAGTCCGTCCCTTGTCCAAAAATGGTTCCATCAATTTCAGAACAACGTTCTCTGACAACCTCTCTCCTTCTGGACGAGTGGGATCTTTTCCCAAGTAAGGGATGGCATTACAAATGTATTTTGTGTCCAGATCTGCTGCAATCCAAAACTTGATTCCAAACTTATCACGCTTGGATGCACTGTACTGCAAAAAGGGGCACCGAACCTTGGACGGAAACAGCTGCTCATCCACAGTAACATGCTGTCCTGGACTGTAGGACGACACACAGTTCTGAACAAACCACATCCAGATGTCAGAAATTGCTGCAAATTTGTCATTGTGTATGCGTTCCTTGCGGGTGTCCTTGTTGTCAAAACGAAGGTACCGTCTTATTTAAAAAAAACGGTTACGAGGCATTATGGATATGATATCTGCGATTCCGAATTTATTGGCCCACATGTGTCGCATGGGACCAATGTAACCCATGGCAGCCCTTCGAAAAAGGATTGCGAGGAAAGCCAGCAGCTTGTAGACACTCATCTGCCAGCTGGGGTTTGTTCTGCGGGCCTCGTGGACTGTGCAGTCTCTGATGGTCAGCAACATGTTCAGATCCAACAAACACAGGAAGCTGCGAAGGTGACTTGTGATTTGGGTTTTCGCAGAATCTGTTGGCCCTCCAGATCCATTGAAGGCAGTCTGTGGGGTTTCAGGAACAGAAAGGTCTCCAACTTTCCAGTGGGACCAAACAGTGCCATCTTTCGCCTTCTCTGTGGATCCAGAGATCCACATTTTTTCGGGAATCCCTCGGGTCACGGGATTCCCGCGGGATTCCTGCGGGATGGGAGTCATCTTTGCTATTAATCACGGGATTGGGACGGTACAGGATGAATGGTTAACGGGAGCAGACGGGAGCGGGAATCAACCAATAGCAAAGACGAAAAAAAAAAAAGTAAATGGTTTTATATACTGGTACATATGCTCTACTACGTTTAAATACCTCTACTGCGTAGTTAAAAATAGATCGGGAGCAAAACTGAGTTTGTTTGTGCTTTATTCATTTATTTATTACAAAGTATTAATCGAACGTCGGAGTTCGTTTTCCATCTTCCTCCACTTGCGAACCATCGACTCATTAATCTTAAGTTCTCTCGCGGCTGCTCTATTTCCGTGTTCCTCTGCGTAGCTGATAGCCTTCAGTTTAAACTGAGCTTCATAGGCGTGTCTCTTTGCCTTTCTCAGGGTTGTTAAGACAACAATGTTTTGCATAATGCACATACCTGCACATACCTGTTGTTTTATACACAATCCACGCCCACACTTCCCCTTTAACGTTCTCATGGTGGCCTCAACAACGTCCGCAGTAAACACAAAAGGCGCCCCGCCCCAAAGGGGCCTTATAGTTGTGAAAATACGGTACATGACCCAGTCGTCCCAGAAGCCATCAGAGTCACAGTGCTTTTTGTCACGGCTTACCGCCGGAATTCAAAGCAATGATGGAGGGAGCTAACAGCCGCGGAGACGTCGATGCAGCAAAACATGATTTACAGCGGAAAGTAAGATGTAACGACATTTCTATTAAGTTCACAGAACTGGTCGGAAAGTCTGACATATTATTTAAGTTTAAAAGAGTGGAATGTGACGGTGTTAGCACGGTGTACGCTGCTTGTAAGACTTGTTTAGTGTTGGGGTCAAGTATGCGAGTGATTGGGGGACGAGCGGTCTGAAGAGGCACACTTGCAAGGCAGATTCGGGAAAGAATCAGCCAAGCATCGCTTCGTTCATTATGAGGAATTTTGTATATATATTGTATGTATATATATATGTATATATGTATAGACATGTACATATGTATATGCCTTTGTTTTATTTTGCTTATGGAGCCTGTAACAAAAATAATTTCCCTCTGGGATTATTAAAGTATTTCTGATTCTGATTCTGATTCTGTTCATCAAGCGAAAATTGCCGTCGGGTGTCAAGTCTCGTCTGACCGACAAAATTGCTCGCATGTGCAGCCAAGATCTCAGACCCTTTGCTGTGGTAGAGGGGAAAGGCTTTGCTAATGTAGCACAGGAGCTGCTGGACATTGGGGCCAAATATGGAAGCAACGTGCATGTGGCGGACAAACTGCCATGTGCACGTACAGTTTCCCGTCACGTAGAAGGGGAGTATGAGAAGATCAAACTGCTGGTCATGGAGGAGCTCCGTCAGGTATGTCACTGCACTATATTTCTACATAAATTGTACCTCTCACGCAGTAGTCTGTGATCTATAGATTCTATAGAATCTTTTAAGATTTTTCTTAAAATGTTTAAACGCCATAATATCTCCATATTCTAAACTGGTAATCTTTTTTACATGTAAGATATTTTGTGGCCCATTAAAAATATAATTCCTCCTATCATGCAGACTAGAGACCATGCTGTAACCACAGACCTTTGGACAGAGGAAAGGACCAACACACACTACATCACTGTTACAGTGCATTACATCCTTGACTGGAAGATGGTAAATCGGATTCTGGCCACAAGAGAGATGGAAGGTGTTAAATCCAGTGACCGCATCAGAAGCACTGTGGAGGGAATCCTTCAGGTATCTCTCTCCGTGTGTCTGTCTGTCTCCCAAATAAGATCATCTTTGTCCACAAGGCATATGTAATTAATATTGCTAATTAATGATAAAATTTGGAAAAGTATGAGAACATGTGCAATAGTAACAACAAAAAACATGTTTACATGAAAAAATATACAATAAGAGAAATATAGCAATAAATACAACAGTAGCCATGTGTGTCACTGTCCCTTACTGCATTGCACATCAGTTTGTTGCAGACAGCTGCATTTGCTGCTCTCTGTGTCGGAGGCAGTTTTACTTTTTTGACAGATTTAGGAAAACGTTTCATAAAAATGTCAAACTTTTAAAAATTGTTTTCATATTTTTATATCTTAGTGTCCTCCTGCGCTGATATGCATTAAGCATATGTGTAAACACTATGTTTTGTCCTAATATAGTTATAAACATTTATTGAAAAGTTCTCTGTTCAGTTACAGGACCGTTAGTCATTCTGTTTTGATGCTCTTATATCTGGGCTTCTTTTTGCAAAGCTTTTGTGTTAGTCTTTTTTAATCTTTTTTTTTTTTTTTTACCTCACACAGGAATTTGGCATCCTGAGCAACGACACCGCATTTGTAACGGATAATGGCTCAAATGTGGTTGCAGCATTCAAGGATTATGTCCGACTCTCCTGTGCTGGCCATAATATCAACTTAATCTTAAAATATGTATTTGACCACTTGGACGAGAACAACCCAGTGCACAGCAACATCATCAAGCTGTTTAAGGACACAAAGACCCTTGTCACACACTTCAAAAGAGCAGGGTAAAATAGCATAAATTTAATTTCTTCCTGGTAAAACTGCTTATATAATTTGAAAGAAATTAAAGTTAAATAAATAAAAATAAGCTACTGTCATTTATACCTGCACAGGTCTTTGTTTTTTTACTCAATTTTAAATAAATCTCTCTTTTTTTTAATAGATGTTGTTTTCTCAAAAGAGAGGCCAATGAATTTGAATTTGTGTCACCGTAACATCCATTTTTCTTGTGCAATCTCTTTATATTTTAGGTTGCAAAAAGCACTGGACCAGTCACTGAAGCAATCTGTGGAGACAAGGTGGAATACCAGACTAGCAATGCTCCAATCTGTTAATGATGCTCTGAGATCTGGGAGGCTGCATGACATCCTGCTTCGCCGAAACGAGCTCCGTTATCTCAACAACATAGACTTTGAACTTCTTGAAGACATCATCCAACTCCTGAAACCTTTCGATGAGGCTACCAGGCATCTCTCCACTGATCAGACACCTACCCTTCACCTTGTCCTCCCGACCAAGGAAATTCTACTGAGGGGTTTGTCGATCCAGGATGGAGACAGTGTGATTGTAAAAGAGGTAATACAATACATTTCTGATTTTCATTAAGTTGGTGGTCATTCAAGTAGCAATCACAAGTACAGTGCAATGATGTATTGTCATGCTCCTCCTCCCCTAGCTGAAAGGGAAGTTAGCCCAGGCAGTGGAGATGAAATTCAAAGTCCACCTGTACCATAAGGTAGCCACAGCTCTCTCTCCAAGCCTGAGGAGTTTCTTAAGGAAAACTCTCAACGGTCAGGAGTATGAGGAGGTCATCAGCACCCTGACAGCATTCACAGAAACGGCAGAGACAGAGAAGAGAGTGAGAGGCCTTGTGGAGAAAGAGGGTGAATAACACTAGCATCAACAGCAGTTGCAGAGCAAATGACAATTTCTTTTAATTTATTTAGAGTGACACACGCATACAGGACAGGTGTGAGGATTACCTTATAGGTAATGTTTAATATAGGTGTGTTAGACAATTGAGTATGTTAGACTAAGAAGAACTAGATTGTAAATGATAATGTTCTATAAGAATCTGTCTTTTTTCCTGAAGATCCACCCCCAGAGCAAGGAGCTATGGAGGTGCATAACTTCTTTGCAAGTTGTGTGGAAGAGGAGGAAAGGAAGGAGGACAGTGGTGATACGGAGTCACATGGTCTCCAGTTGGTGCTGAAGTACATGAGTGACACTAAGTTGACACGTTTCCAGTGTCTTCTTGACTTTTGGCGGGAGATGTCAGGTGGGCTCGTACCAGTTGCCAAGAGGCTGCTAGCTATCCCCGCAACAAGTACTCCTTCTGAGCGTAGCTTCAGTGTTGCAGGAAGACTGATAGAGGAGAGGCGCTCTACGCTCAGTCCAGAAAATGTAGACGCAATTTTATTCCTACACAGCAACATATAGATAAGATTCAAGAGCATAATTGATGAAAATTGTTCAAATGTAATTAAAAAAATGTAAACTATAAATGTTTTGTTTACTCAACAATAAATGAGTAAAATCCAGCTTTATGTGCTGTTTGGGTTTATTAAACATTGTAGACATGGTGTGACCTACAGTTTTTCTTTTATTTGCTGTATTCCATTTTCTGGAAAAAATCTAGAAACGGGGGCAAAGCAACCTGTCTAAAACAGGATGGAGACTGGAGAGCTGATTAAATCAAATTCTATGTATTAACTAAACACTAATTTAAGATAAAAATATATATATAAAAAATATACGGGAGCGGTACAGGAGCGGGAGTCAGTTTAAACGGGAGCGGGAGTCAATTTACCAGGAGCGGGATGGGATGGGATTATTTTTTAAACTTTGGTCTGGGAGTGGGACGGGACAAGATGTCTTTCTATGGGAGTGGGACGGGACAGGAGTGAAAATCCACTCCCGTGTCATCCTCTAGTGCAGACTAAAGTCTGCACTTTGGGACTTTGAGTGTTAAACACATAATAAGCTTAGTGGTCGGAGAGAAAGGGAAGAAACACCAAAGTGTCTTCCACAACAAGGACAATCAGAAATATTCTTACATCTTGAGCAAATTTAATAATTTCTTGATTTCTTTGAAGTTTAACATGCATGCAGGGATTTGAATAGCCTCAAATATCAGTAAGCCAGTGTAGGAATGACCATGTTATCATGCTTACCATACCTAAAATGGGGATGAATTGTAGGTCTGAATTTTGGGAATGAGATTGGACAAATTTGAAAGATCCAAAGGTATCCAAAGAAAGTTTCATTTTGAACACTGTCTGGGATTAGCTGATAAAAATAATCAGATGATAAAAAGAATCTGTC